CCCTAAATGGGCTGGCTCCGGCCTATATAGCTGAACTCCTCCAGCGCTACACCCCAGCCAGAGCTTTAAGGTCTGCTGACCAGCTACTGCTGGTAGTGCCCAAGACCAGGCTTAAAACCTGAGGGCACCGAGCCTTCGCAGCAGCTGGCCCTAGGCTCTGGAACACTCTGCCCCTCCATGTGAGGTCGGCCCAGACCCTAGGGGTTTTTAAATCTACTCTTAAGACACACTTCTTCTCCCTGGCCTTCTAGTCAGAGCGGAGCATGACTCCTGACTTTTCCCTGTGTTTTTTATATCTGTTGTAATTTATTGTCTTTTATTGTGATTGTAGTAATGTGTTTTTATTACATGTACAGCACTTTGGCTCGACCAAAAATCGCTTTTAAATGTGCTTTATAAATAAAACTTGATTTGATTTGATTTGATTTAGAATCCCCATCCATCCTTCGTTCTAAGCCCTAAACGTGGCATTATCAGTAAGTCAAGTTACTAATTATTATCTTAGCTACAAGTGTTTGATATTATTTGTCATAATATAATTTTGTAGTAAGGATAATTATTATTTTTGTAAGAACTTGTTGCTGTGTTATAGTGTGTTACGTAATGCTGTGTAATTTTGCATTGCATATTTACCTGCAATAACCTGCTCTTGTAAAAAGTACATTTATTCTGTAAATGTTAAAGGTCCCATGTCATGCTTTTCCGGTTATTACCCATCCCCTTGTGTGTTATGAAGGTTTTTATGCATGTAAACGGTCTGCAGAGTCAAAAACCCTCAAAGTACACCCTGTAGGGAGTAAAACTCTAACACAGAAAATACCTCCCCAAAACGCCTCGATTTCTCATTTTCCATTGTTTACTTCCTGGGTACTCTGACGTGGGGATACCCAGAGGCCACACCCTCTGCCAGCCTTTCACGAAACAAAGCTTCCCAAAACCTTTCAGGATTCATGCCGGATATGTACAGCGTAGGGCACTGAAGAACGATGCTGTTCCTACTTTGTTTGGACCAGCGGGAGATTCGGGTACACAACCTGTAAGTATTCATTGTTGTTTGTGTATTTATGATGTTTAAAACAAACAAGGTATCTACCACGGTCAGTGTATGTTGTGGTCATTGGATTTTCTTTTCACAAATGGAAATTCAAAAACAAAAAACGACTGGATATTTGATTTTCGTTTTCAAATTGAAAAACCAAAATTGAAATACAAGGCGTTTTTCTTTAACATGGTCAAAAAGGGATTTACTAAACTTAAAAAAACGGGATGATTTACATTTTCTACTTCTCAAAACAAAAAATAAAATCACTAGAAAACAGAAACAAAAAAAACCCCCGTTTTTTCATATTCTGCCACCGGAAGTTGTCTTTCAAAATAAGAGCGCAGATGAGGACGGTCAATCCGTGTATCTACGGTCCATTTGTTTTCACAACGAAAACAGCCAAGACACATATTGAGCCCAGAAAATGAATGTTATTAAGGGCTGTAAATATAATAGGCCTATGTTTAAAATGGACAACATTGTTAGGAGATTTCAACTATACAGCGATTCTGCACTGCGGTCAGCTCAGCCGTCTCTCGAGTTTGTTATAATTTCTTCTGCCATTAGTTCTTCGTGAGATCGATCCTGTTGGACTCAGTAGGTTAGTAGTGAAACTACTCCCACAAGTACTATGAAGTACTTACTGTGTACTTTTTGAGTACTCCTCTGTCAATGTCCCCTCCTGAGAACAAGAATGCATCTTTCTCTGCTATTTTGAATCAGCGTTAAAACACCTTTCTTCATGAGACTGATATTGTTGGACAGAGTATTTTAAGAGGATATGGTAGACATGATATCAGCAATACTTCCAGTCAGTAGTCCGGTAGCAGCATTTTTACCCCTTGGAAAGTCTTGCCCGTTATTTAAATTGACTTTGATTGAAGTTAATAACAATATTGATATTATATAGATATATAGATATATAGATATATAGATATATAGATATAGCATATTTGATGCAGTCTTTCTGAACACTTTTAAAATAAAATACTGCAAATGAAGAATATTTGTAATGTTCTGCACAGATAGTGCCTTAACTTGAATTTGAAAACACGTGGCAGCTTTATTAATACAGCAGATGAAAAGATTTGTGGAAGGATACATTCTTCATGGGCTTCAATGGCTCTCTAGATAAAGGGCGTTTTATGGTTGCTTGTATTATCCTCAGATAGGGGTTTGTTTAAATAACTAGTGACATTTTAATAAATATTGCAAAAAAGGGCTCAAAAAAAGGCATATATCCTGGCCGGCTTAGCCAGTGTGTATTTTTTCAAGCACCACAAGATTCATAGTTTATAAAGTACAATTCTGGGCCATTGATTGTGTCATTTCTCCAAACTCATACAGTAAAAATGGCTGTTTTTGAAGCCTTAAAATGGTGCAGGAAAAGGACTTTACATTGTATTATACTTAAAGACAGGACTATTCAGTTAAGAGAAGAGAAAAAATGAAAGAAAACTGTTATAATGGGTGATGTAACATTAATGACTGACATAATATGAGGTCCTTGGCACTCAGACTCTAGAGGGATCCTTTTGTGATCATGGGGCATCACCCTTACAGCATCAGGACAATATCATATGGAGTCAGACACTGGAAGTGTGCTGGAGGCGTTGACTGGGACTGATGGAAGGATGAGGCTGATGAGACTGAAGAATCTGCGAGGAACGAATTAGCGGCTGAGAAATAGTTATATATTAAAAGACAGCAGCATCATAAGAGGGCAACCAGAGTGACAGAGTGTGTTACTTTGCTGAAGGATATTACTACTAACAATACATTGAAGTAATTTTACTGTGTACTTTTTGAGAAATCCTCTGTCAATGTCCCCTCCCGAGTACAAGAATGCATGTTTTTCTTTTAATAAGCGTTAAAAAACATTTCTTCCTGAGACTGATATTGTTGGACAGAGTATTTTAAGAGGATGGTATGATATCAGCAATACTTCCAGTCAGTACTCCGGCAGCAGCATTTTTACACCTTGGAAAGTCTTTAGAGACTGGCCTGGATAGCTGGTCACAAATATCCTTCAGCAAAGTAACACACTCTGTCACTCTGGTTGGCCTCTTAATGATGCTGCTGTCTTTTAATATATAACTATTTCTCAGCCGCTAATTCGTTCCTCGCAGATTCTTCAGTCTCATCAGCCTCATCCTTCCATCAGTCCCAGTCAACGCCTCCAGCACACTTCCAGTGTCTGACTCCATATGATATTGTCCTGATGCTGTAAGGGTAATGCCCCATGATCACAAAATGTGTGCCAAGGACCTCATATTATGTCAGTCATTAATGTTACATCACCCATTATAACAGTTTTCTTTCCTTTTTTCTCTTCACTTAACTGAATAGTCCTGTCTTTAAGTATAATACAATGTAAAGTCCTTTTCCTGCACCATTTTAAGGCTTCAAAAACAGCCATTTTTACTGTATGAGTTTGGAGAAATGACACAATCAATGGCCCAGAATTGTACTTTATTATTTACATTACAAATATTCTTCATTTGCAGTATTTTATTTTAAAAGTGTTCAGAAAGACTGCATAAAATATGCTATATCTATATATCTATATTATATCAATATTGTTATTAACTTCAATCAAAGTCAATTTAAATAGCGGGCAAGACTTTCCAAGGGGTAAAAATGCTGCTGCCGGACTACTGACTGGAAGTATTGCTGATATCATGTCTACCATATCCTCTTAAAATACTCTGTCCAACAATATCAGTCTCATGAAGAAAGGTGTTTTAACGCTGATTCAAAATAGCAGAGAAAGATGCATTCTTGTTCTCAGGAGGGGACATTGACAGAGGGTTACTCAAAAAGTACACAGTAAGTACTTCATAGTACTTGTGGGAGTAGTTTCACTACTAGCCTACTGAGTCCAACAGGATCGATCTCACGAAGAACTAATGGCAGAAAAAATGATAACAAACTGGAGAGACGGCTGAGCTGACCGCAGTGCAGAATCGCTGTATAGGTTAAATCTCCTAACAATGTTGTCCATTTTAGACATAGGCCTATTATATTTACAGCCCTTAATAACATTCATTTTCTGGGCTCAATATGTGTCTTGGCTGTTTTCGTTGTGAAAACAAATGGACCGTAGATACACGGATTGACCGTCCTCATCTGCGCTCTTATTTTGAAAGACAACTTCCGGTGGCAGAATATGAAAAAACGGGGGGTTTTTTTGTTTCCGTTTTCTAGTGATTTTATTTTTTGTTTTGAGAAGTAGAAAATGAAAATCATCCCGTTTTTTAAGTTTAGTAAATCCCTTTTTGACCGTGATAAAGAAAAACGCCTTGTATTTCAATTTTGGTTTTTCAATTTGAAAACGAAAATCAAATATCCAGTCGTTTTTTGTTTTTGAATTTCCATTTGTGAAAAGAAAATCCAATGACTAAAACATACACTGACCTACCACGACTGTTTAAATGGGTAAACGTTTTTCGGGCTACTACGTTGGGATCGTGGAGAAATGCTCTCCGCAGACCCATTCTCACAGCGTTATAAACCTTTTTCTTACTCAATATCAAGCCACACTTATTGTTTTTACTTCGGCTGTGAGTGTTTGTGTGTGCTCAGGATGAGTTTAGCTTGTTCTCGCTGTATCGCCGACACGGAAGCCTGTCTGCTCCTCGCAGCAGCTCGCAGCAGCAGCTCGCAGCAGCTCGCAGCAGCTCGCAGCAGCTGCGAGCAGCAACGAGCCTCTCAACGTCGCGACCAATCAGAGCACACTGGGTTCACAGGGAGGGGGGGGGCAGGAGCTCCAACAAGCCGTTTAGGACAGAGAGTGAATACCGGTGAATACACATACTTTACAGAGATGCTGTATGAGAAACCAATGTGAGTTTGGAAAATTGCACAGCATAAATAAGGATAGTTGCCTCTTAACATTTGTAACCAAAACAACTGTTGTTGGTTTTCCAGGTCAGCAGTTAAACAGGAAGTCAGTTACCTAGCAGACTGATGCCGTGGAGCTCCTGGACCAGCTGCGCCCGGACGTCCACTCTCAGGGCCGTCAGCAGGAAGGTGAGGCGCAGGTCAAAGAAACGCACCTGGACACAGAGCAGGGACACTCATTCACTATTTATCTTTTCCTGTTCAGAGTATGGCTGGCTCAGTGCTCATTTGATACAAATATGTTGCATTAAAAATTCTAACGTACCAAAACAAGAACCGAATGTCCTTCAACAGTTAGGTATCACAACATAGGACTGACTTGAAGCAAGAGTCGGCACGTGTTGGCTTAATCAATATGTGCATTAACTACAACCTTACTCTAAACTTTGTCAAGTTAACTCTCAGAGTAATCATTTCCCCCCCCACATTATAACACATGTCTAACTGACATCCATACCTCATGGTTCCAGATGGGATCATGACACTGCTTCAGCCTCTCTGCCACGCCCTTTATCAGCTGGAGATCTGCTGCGACCACCTGCCATCCATCATCAATACAAAGACATATTTGATAAATGATCACCAACCAAAACACTTGTTATTCTCTGACAAATGTATATAAATGTAGGTTTGAGGAGACAACGGCAGACTGACCTGTCCTGTTTGGTTGTGCAGCAGCAGGTTACAGATGGACTTCAGAGCCTCAGTAATCACTTCCTGGTCAGCGTTTTCTGAAGGGGGGGAGGCTTCCTTCCCCTCTTCATTGCATTCCTCTGCTGCCTCTCCCCTCTCTCCTTCCTCACCCTCAGCTAGGAATAGGAAGAAGGCAATTAACAGAGTAAATCTTTATTTATTAAAAGGTTGGGGCAAATGATAAACCGAGTAGCTTCTATATCTCGAGATTTATTTTAGTAATTGTAGAACAAATTTGTGCTGTGCCTTCATGACACCTTGAATCTTGTCTCCTGTCTCACCTTCTACAAAAACCCACAGAAATTATGAGCAACACACAGCATATATCAATATAATAAGGGGGATATGGGGAAACTTTATCCAAGTGTACAATTAATCAGCATAAGTGTCAGCATTTGTCAAATCTGGAGGTTTGTTTCCAACCTGTTTCCAGATCTTCACTATTACTGCTGTGAGTATAACACTTTTAATGATGGCCAAAACTACAAAAATAAGACTGAAAATGTATTTTTATCCTTTAATGCCACCAAATCTATTTTTGTGTTTGGACAATCAAAAAACACAGGAGCACCAGGATGAAGGCCTTCCAGTCTGAAACCTGGGACAGCTGTCTGGAATCACCTTGGCCCTCCTCCCCCTGGTTGTGGGCCCCCCCAGGACTGGACACGGCGATGCCGGCGAAGCGGGCCAGAGTGGACATGGCAGAGCGGCTGGTGAAGGGGTCCAGGCAGAGAGGGTCCCTGGACAGGATCCGGACTGTTTCCAGACAGGCCAGGTGACAGGAGGGCTGCAGGTCCCGGTTCAGGAACCCCAGCACCAACTCCCCCAGGACCTGCATCACACAACAGATACATCAGGTCAGATTCAGTGTTATGAGAAATGATACACTAAGTGACCTCATTAGATAGTGACTGCACCAGACTTTCTATATTGAAATATACTTTAAAATATGTTACCTTGCAAACCATATTTCTGAATTGATCTCATCTTTATTCCCATTATAAATGTCAGTTTTAAGTTTTGACATTTCTATATATAAAGATTTTGCATTTTGAATGCAGCAGAAAGTGGAAGTTTTGACTTTACTTGGATTTTCAGTTCTGAATTGAGCTCATTGAATTCAATCAATTTGAATTATGGTTTTGAATACTGAGTGCTTACATTTGATTAATTTGTTATTTAATTTAATTTAAATGTCCAAATATGAAACTTTCTCCACATTTTAAATAGGGGCATTCAGACCACGTACATTTTTTCTTAATTTAGTTTTGAAGCAAATATATTTCAGTGTTATTTCAAATCCATATTTATCTCACTTTGGTTCATTTAAGAAAATATATGTTAATTATGTATTCAGCTACAATTTAATGAATGACTAAATTAACCAGGCAATAGCTTGCTTAAAATACTTTAAGCTAATAGTAAATATCACAACTACACAAGAACTAGACAATAGTGCTACTTTTCATTTGGATCACCAACCAGTATGAGGAAAATATCCTTCAACAGAAAAATGCCTTGACTAAACTTCAAAGGTAAAAGATCAGGAATCAAAGTTTGGAAGCTAAGGAATACCTTTCTGTCCTGCTCGTCTTCCTTGTTGAATGTGAAGCAGTGGTTCATCTGAAGAAGGAAAAGCAGAAGGCACAAATAAAGGTGTGAGATAAAGAGAAAGAGCCAAAACAGAAAAGGGGAAAGAGCAGTAAGGTCTGGGAAGAGAGGGAAAGCAGTCGCTGTAGCCAAGACACATCCGACCTGAGCCTTTGTTACCGCTAGTTTTGATGTTGTGGTTTTTCTGGTACATTAATAGTGTTAGGGTTGAGGTAGCCTACACAAAATGCAGACGGGCTGGCTGTGAGGCTCTGCAGTCTACATGTTAAAGAGTCTTTTGGGCAAGATACTGAACCCAAACTTACTATCATTATGGTGTGTGTTGTTTATCACTCCTGGGGAGCAGGTGGCTCCTTGTATGGTGACCTTCAGCAGTGTATAGATGTGTGTGTGAATAAGTAAATGATGTTTGTGTTGTGAAGTGTTTTGAGCAGTCGCTAAGACTAGAAACCTTTATTTTAAACATAGAACTTATCTTACTTTTCTTTTTTAAACATCATAACATAGGTTCCTTAGGCTTTGTCATTTAGGCAACATCTGAAAACCAAAGTGGTTCACAAAGCTGAGCCAGCAGTTCTCAAAGTCAACATTTTGAAAGTGTAAAAAAAGCTAATGTAGCCGACGGACTGCTGCCAAGCTGCATTCTGGAACACAAAACCTTTCAAACGGTTGTTCCAGCACATGTAACGTTATGTAGCGCTTTTTGATTCACTTATGTATTTTACGTGTGCCTTCTGATGTCAGGACTGTCATAGACAACATGGTGAATGGACCAGAGCAGGCTAACAGCAGAGGAAAAGTGAGCATAGCTAGATATAACACAGCCTATTCCACAGAGCCTGTAGCTCTAAGCTGCTCAGTGTTAAAGGGTTTAGTAGGGCAGGATTTGACCGGGCCGTAGGAGACTGTATTTGTGTATCAGAGAATCTAATCCAATTGCCTCTAAGATCAACGCCCACACAGCTGACCGGGCGGAGAGAAGCATGATGCAGAGCTCAGCTGGTTAGCAGACAGCCTGAAGCTCAGCTGGTGCTTAGTCAGATGAAGATTGAGGCCTCTATATTGGAAAACCTAGCGTAGCAGATTACACTGAAGTGCATGCTGCCCAAATACATTTTGGTAATTATACGGCCTGCTGCCCGATGCACCTGGGGCTCACTTAGTCACATGATGGGATCAGAAAAAAAATCATAAACATACATTATATACAGGCGTGTGAGACACATTCACACTGCGTCCCCTCGTAGCACAGAGCTCTCCCTGTCATGACCCAGGGTTCTTTATGGGAGTTAAAGATCTGATGGTCATCAGTGGGTTTAATGCACACTTTCAATAATCATTCCCATAAAATGTAGATCTAAAATGTGGTCTTGATTGTTTATTTTTTATTTTTCTTGCTTTAATTCTTTATTTGTAGAGTTTATTTTAATTTTACATGCGAAAAATTACTACTGACAAACTGAGCCAAGTTCTTGCCTCTTTGGTTTTTAAACTGTGACAAAAAACTATGAATTATCTAACAAGAAATAAGTATTTCAGAAATAACACAAGTCAGAATAATCTCTGTCACATTTGTATTCATATGACACTGGAGGCGGAGAAGACACGTCCCCCTCACAGTTAAAATCAGTTTTTTATTTTTTGTTTTGTATTCCTTAGTGTTGCCTTAGGCTACATAGTTTTCCAAACTTTTGACACACATTGACACCTGAGAGAGGTTGTGGGCTAAAAAAAAGTACTGTCACCTTCTCTGCATGTCTCTTGGTTTATTTACAGTTGATACTCTCCTAAAAAAGACTGTTGTGAAAGCTAGGACAGAAAACTCAAAACTAATGGTGCAAATAAAACATAATCCATGTGTTAGGTCATTATTCAGGTTAACATTTATGTATATGTTTTTCTACAGTATATAATATCCTATGCCCTTGCTAGTTCAGGCATGAATGGATGCATGATTGTTACGAATCTTTTTCTTCATGTGTCTCGGATAAGTTTTGTCTTCTTTAAAATAAAAACATTGCAAACCAATAACTATATAGAGTAGTGCAGTGATGACGTTTTTTGTAGGCTGACCTGGATGTTAGCATCGAAAGAGCTAACTCAACAAAAAGCAATGGGATTTTCTCATTGTACGTTGGAATATTGCAGAAAATAAGCTCTGTGGCTAACAAATGTTTATTACATGTTATGTTAGGCAGGATAATCTCCACATAGTAACACCACTTGATGATTTTTGAAGCTTAAATCGAATGCTTATTTCAAGGATCTAGCCAAAAACCGTTGATTTTGAGATAAGGTAATCGCAAATTGTAAAATGCTGACTTATTTCCGGGTTTTAGGGCTTAATTATGCACATAGGAGCCTTATGGAGATAGGTTTTTTATGTTTGTATTTAAATTATAAAGCTGCAATTATCATGTGAATTGTATTATGAACAATGGATTACAGTATTTTTGAGCTACAGCGGCCCCTTTACATGGCTTTTGTTTTCCAACTGATGAATGTATAATGTTTGGTCCCAGTGCTCTCATTAGCTTTGTTTCCATTAGCATCACTAGCAGCTGACTGTAAAAGCTCTGCTGAGCAGCAGGCAGACACAATCAGAGACTCTCTGGGGAGCATTTCTCAGCTGAAGAGACAGATATTTATCTCAGGATGGAAGATAAACGCAGGGACAGATGCCTCCAAAAGATTTCTGATGCTGCTCTGAGTGCTGGAGGTGTAACTGTTCTGCTTCCCACAAGTGGTCAAATATGTGATACAGCTTTAAAACTGGCATCCAGGATAGGAAATGAAATACTTTACTTCAACATTTAAGTTTCAGTTTGAAATTCTTGAGTCTGGTGGAAACCAGTGTTAGGCTAAAAAAAGGATTTTAATATCACCTGTAGTGAAAAAAAATACCTGCTTTTTTTTCTTTTTTCGTTATGCCAGTTTTCCATCTCCTCTAATGTGTTCTATAGGTTTTAGTGCATGTCTGCAAAGGCCACAATCCCTGTGTTCCCTGCAGAGGGAGTTTATCTCCCACACACAACATTAAAGCATGTGAATGACATGTTTACATGCTTTAATGTTCAAACAGCTCTTTATTTTTCTAGAGGAACAAAATACTAATATGAACCTGAAAATGTGCATAATAGGGCCCCTTTAAGGTTGGAGAGGTGAAAATAATATGCACGAGTCAAACAATTGTTTATTTTCCATAGATATATCGCAATAATAACGTTGTTTTGATTCTTTAGGCCACCATAATTGTGTGGTTAAAATATGAAATTATGACAGCTCTACGGTTTCACCTGTCAAATTAGGGAAAACACATGTTGTGAACAATGTCTTGTTTCTATTTATTTCATTTAAGTACTGTCAGTCCTGCACAACCCTGCAAATATTTTTGCACGTTTGTAGACAAAGCTTTTAATATCTGGACAGCTCTCCACTTTTCGTAACAATACTGTGCATAGTTAATTTTATTCAGTTTTTTTTTTCATATTATACTATATTTTTGGTTGTTTTTCTTACAATGTATCTTCTTTAACTGTGTTTATGTATCCACCATATACAATAAACCTGTTTCTGATTCTGATGCTTCTCTCTGATTCTGATTTGACTAACAATATAGAAACAGAAACAGTGTGCCCATAAGCCCTGGTCTCCCCTGAAGGCAGCACCATCCTCTGACCTGAAAGGTGTTGTATCTGACATAAAGCTAAGCTAGCCAGGCAGCATTAGCAGAACATATGTGTGTATGATAAACGTCATGCATGTATGCAGGGCGCACGTCGCGTGATTACCTCCTGGTTGTAGCTCTGCAGAGCCGTCAGAGCTGAGTCCTGCTCTCCGGTCTCCATTTGCTCTATGATGCTATTTAAATCCATCTTCATCTGACGCTAGCAGCAGCCTCCTCCTGGTCTCAGAGCAGTGTGTGTGTCTCACAGAGTGTTCAGGACCAGCTGACTGCAGGAGGATGGATCCCGGGAACCGGACAGAAACGATTAACGGACAGGCTTAGTGTAAACCGAGCGCTGCGTTCAGGTGTGTCAGGGAAACACGGAAGAATCTCATAAACGGATTGGCATATTGGTTGGAAATGTAGTTGATTTTAGCTTCAGAGGGCATCTCCAATGTATTCATTTTACATTTAAATAATAATGTAAAGAAGTTGTTTACTACATTATTTAAAGGACCCATGTCATGGCCATTTCCACTGATCATAATTCCATTGTTGAGGTATTCTAAAATACATTTATACTGTGCAATTTTCCAAACTCACATTGGTTTTGCATACAGCATCTCTGTAAAGTATGTGTATTCAGCAGTATTCACTCTCTCCACTAAACGGCTCGTTGGAGCTCTTGCCCCCCCCCCCCCCCCCCCCCCCCCCCCCCCCCCTCCCCTCCCTGTGAGCCTAGTGTGCTCCGATTGGTCAGCTCGGCCACTCTGTTCTGATTAGTCAACCACCAGAGAGGCTCCGCCCATGTCTAACAGTGCTTTTTTCGGCCCGCACTCAGCGGAACATCAGTCTTATAATGGCGTCGGTACAGCCATATATTTTATACGCTAACTAACCGAACTGTACCTACAACTGTTGTTAGAGTAAGTTATTTTTACCTGTAATAAACTACTACTGTTTGATGAGAAATCAAATCATGGTTTGCTATATATGAATGATAAGTTATAGGAGCAAATAATTCAGGGAAGAAAGGATAGGCCTACTAAGTATTTCCATTAAACTTTATTTTTAGAAATGTACAAAATGAACATAAATATACATATATACACGGTATATCATCCATTCCTCCCCGTTGTCGGCATCTTGCCTATCGCAGCCGGGGCTTTTTAGGACGAGGCCTCAGTGTGGTAGTCCCGTCCCCGTCATGTATTGTCCGGCAGGATCTGGCTGGACGAAATCAAATGCAAATCACAAAATATTAGAGAATCTTAGTTGTTTTAGATTCGTTAGTAGTAGTTGTGGTAGGAGTGTGGATCTATCTAATCCATCTATCTAATCAACACAGTAAGCTTGCCAGCTAATATGCTAACCTAGCTTTCTTGTTTACCTTGGTAGCAAACACGATATGAACGGTAGCTTCGGAGGAACGGCAACTATAATGTAGTGTAATAAAACTACTATGAACAAAAGCTAGTGGTTCATATTAGGCTAGCAATAACGTGTTTATAATTGCAATCTTATACGGGTAGTCTGCTACGTTCGGTCATTCATTGTAACTGGCATGAATACATTGTTTTCCGCTAGCATGTATAGCTAGCCTCGTTAGCTATACATGCAGTATGTACATGTACTGTCACAATGTACGGTAAATCACCCGGAGTATACTGTATGAGTATTCCGTGTGTGACTGCAGACATTCTCCTGCCATGACAAACATGTAAGGCCATCTGCTGACATTGTAGTTGATATATTTAAACGCTAGCAACGTCGTTAGCAATCACAAAATATTATTGAAACTTAGTTGTTTGATGTTCGTCAGCTTGCCAGCTGGATTACAATGCTAATCTACGTTTGCTAGTTGTTCAGTGTAATATGCTATACTATACTATGAACAACAGATAGTGGTTCATATTAGGCTATCAAGCACATGTTTACAATTGCAATCTTATATGGGTAGTCTGCTACATTCATTGTAGCTGACATAAAAACAATGTTTTTCCGAGCAAACTCATGTCTAGCTCTTAGTAGCCTTGTTGTTTAGCTCGGTAGCATACACGTTCGGAACGCCAGCTATAATGTAATTACGTTTCGCGACTGACCGTACGGTAAATCACCCGGAGTATACTGTCTATGAGTATTTCGTGTGTGAATGCAGACATTCTCCTGCTATGAGATACATGTATGTAAGGCCATCTGCTGATATTGGAGTTGATATATGGAAACACTAGCAACTTAGTTAGCCCAGTTAGCAGTCCGAAACACGTTTACACATTTAAACAGTCGTGGTAGATACCTTGTTTGATAAATACACAAATAACAATGCAAACTTACAGGTTGTGTACCCGAATCTTCCCCTGCTCCAAACGGTCCAAACAAACTAGGAATAGCATCGTCCTTCAGTTTCAAATGCTGTGCATATCCGGCCTCAAACTGGGCAATGTTTTGGAAGCTTTCGTCTGTGAAATGCCGCGCACACAGTAACGTTCTTCGAACCTCTGAAGGAACAGTGTTAAAAAGAAATTTCAACCACTGACTTCGTCGTGGTTCTTCCGTCGGTAGGACAAACAGCTCAGATTTCTCCTCACATTTCAGGAAACAGGTCCTTGGCATTGGCATGACTGGGTCGATTGTGAACTGAACCAGAGCTTCCAACAGTAAATGTTAGGCTGGCAGAGGGTGCGGACAGCGCCGCTGGGTGTGGCCATAGCTCTTCCGGATTGGTTCATTTTGTTCCGGGTACCGCATGACATCATGCCGTACCCGGAACTAAATGGAAGACTCAAATGGGCAGTGACGTATCTCCAACGAGGCGTTTTGGGGAGGTATTTTCTGTGTTAGAGTTTTACTCGCTACAGGGTGTACTTTGAGGGTTTTGACTCTGCACACCGTTTACATACATAAAAACCTTCATAACACACAAGGGGACGGGTAATAACCGGAAAAGCATGACATGGGCCCTTTAATATATGCCTAAACCCCCCACCTTACCCTTGTGCTTTAAACCTAACACCTTATTCATATTTATACAACTTGTCTGTACCTTGCTTCACATATGCAACAACTCTGACACGTAGCCTACTGTATGCAAATATACTGCAAAGTGCAACCTCATGCACTTTACTACTCTTTGCACTTTCTGGTTGGATGCAAACTGCATTTTGTTGTACTGTGCTATGGCAAAATAGTTGAATCTAGAAAAACAGACAAAAAGAGGATAACAAAAAGGAGCAGCAGTGGTCACAACCTTCTGCTTTTACCAAGTTCTTGTTCTGTTATATTTGTTACCCCCGTAGTTATTATAACACTATTTTAACCAATCGTCGTAATTTTACAAACCATGCTACAATATCAATATTCTTTCAACCATTTCTGTGGTAATGTAAGCAGTGCGGCATAAAAAGAGGTTCTAAGAAATAAGAGTAACATTTTATTCTAAAACATTTCCACAATGGTTGTTTTAATCAAATATGTGGAACATCTGGAGGAATCTTTTGTTTAATATTGTTGTATTTAGTAATTGTAGCCTATATTATATTTTAGAAGATATAGCCACCTCCCCAAAAGATATCCTTCATCTTATTCATTTCTTATCCATATGTCAATAATTTTACTGCATAAGAGTTATTGCCTCTTTCTTTCTCATTCCCCAAATCAAAGTTAAAACTGTACTTCCATGAGAAAACTGTACCTACTTTTGACACGTTTGGACATTTGTAATAACACTAACACTTTATGTAGCTGCTGCTGTTTCAGAGTCCTTGTTTTGTGCATGCTGGATCACACATCCACCGTGTTTTCTTCCTGTATGTTCCTGCCTGTGTACATGGCATAAACTGCTCATAACCAATTGCCCCTTGTGGGATTAATAAAGTTGTTGATTGAATGATTGACATAGAGTAACCTCTTGTTATTTAAATTATACAAATCTATGAAATTATAGTTAATACCTGAGTAGGAAGGCCTCCAAACCCAGTGCGTTTAAACAATAGGGTCAGGTTAAAAGTGCAATACAATGACATATATTATGTATATATATATATGTATGTCCCAATAGTGTGCAAACAGTACTGCATGCAATACTTGCAGCTGAAATACAAGCTAAAAGTACATTTAGAAAAGTGTGTTCCTAATAATTCCTTTTTTCTCAATTTCTTTTTACAATTCTCTGGTCCATTTCTTAATAAAATGCATCCTGTTAATATATAGATTTCTGCATACTGGCACTCAAAAATATGTTTTAAACAGTCTGCAGCAAACTAAGCTAATTCCTGATTTGTTTAGTGTTAGGCTATATATATGTTGTTTGTGTAGGAGCTGACAGAATCATTTACATGGTGGTTTTCTTTATTATTTGTCATTGTCAGAATAAACAGATCATCTTTAATTTGATCCCAGTGTTGCAGCATCACCAACACGATGCAGAAGCACCTTACTATGTTCAAATGTTTTTCATTTTTGTAAAGCACTTTGAATTGCCTTGTGTTGAAAGGTGCTATATATATAAACTTACCTCGCCTATAGCTCGCTGTGATACTTGAATATAGGACAGAATTAGCATTAATGCTATGAGTAAAACATGTACTTTACCTAGTATGGCAAATTAAAATGCAGAGCTGTCACAATATTACATTTTAACCACACAATTGTGGTTCCCAACATGACCACTATCACGTTATTACTGCTGGGGCCAATCTTAGGTCATCCCTTAAACATCAAGTGTGCTGAGGCTTAAGGGGAATGTGAAAGTATTACAGCTGCCTGTGAATGTACATGCACATGTCAGTGTAATAACTGTGTTTGACTTCCTTCCTCTTGCTACTTTGGATGTGAAATAGCACCAGTACTCCAAAGCCAACTGAGGGATGTTCTCTCAGTTATCATTATCAATACAAAAAATTCTTTGTGAATTTAACAATTCATTCTGTGTGCCGTCTGATAACACACATTGTGTTCAGCATAACAAATAACTTGGATAAGAAGAGAGACGGACTCAGCTGAAAAAAGGGTTAATTAATATTGTAGCAGACTAAAAAGGCTTAAATAGTCAAATTAGGTATCATATATGTTGTGTTGAAGACTATGGATTGTTGTATTTTCCCAACAACAATACACCCTGACGGTAATGGCACTAATGTTATATATGGTAGAATTTTATTTATTTATTTAAATGGATTATTTTTAGTTAGCACGAGGAAAGGATTAAGTATTGACTCGTGTGCAAACTTGGTAACATCTCTTCCATTTGTATTAGCTGGTGAAACATCACCAAACGGGAATATTCTCCTTATACAACCATGCAGAAAATCATCTCAGGACTGTACTACCGGCTACCATCTGTAACCTTCAGTAAAAGGGGCGTTTCTTGGAGAACGATGGGCGTAATCGTACTGTGAGAGTACGTTTGATTTGTAATACCGAACAAACGTGCGAGCGGGGTTAACGTTGACATTACTGACATTTCCCCCACATTTCTTTTTATGACTGATGAGATCACCTAATTTGATTGTATTCACCTCTTCTGTGACCACAAGCATTTTACTTAAAATACGCATCTAATGAAACCGTTTAAACTCCACTCTTCCGGGCCACATAATACTTACTTCGATTACGTGACGCAATATTGTAACCACCAATAGCGTTGCTGCAGCAGTTTGAGTGACAGAGGCTGTAGCTGTAGTGGGGGAAGGGGTCGCTGAAGTTGACGGAACCGCCATCTTGAAAAGTGCCCTCCGATGATCTACCTTTTCGCGCCTGTCAGAATCAGTTTTAAACGCTTTATTTTCCTTGCTGGAATTTCGTGTTTTGCTAGTTTTCGTTTTGTTAAGGCCTGGGGCTGACTGCAAGATAAGCTACATGCTGGAGACTCGCTGTTTACCGTTGTCTATCGGTAGGTACACTTGCCAGCCCATGCACTTGGTTGGTGCTGAAGAGACGATTAGCCAGCAGTCTTAGATAGCCGGCTAACGTTAGCTGGCTAGCAAGAAGCATACTTGGCCATCTTAACACTGTGCTGTCAGACACTCTGGTATACCTTTAGCTATGAAAGGGGTAACGTTAACGTTGCATGTCTCTGTTTTATTGTATCTTGAAACCATAGCCTTATTTATTGGCCATGTTGTCAGCCAATTAGCATTTGTCTCATAGCTCACTGATACCGGTCAACTCGACGTAACGTTAGCTCCTAACGTAAGTTTGATCCTGATTTAAGTTGTCCAGGTTAGCTAACAATAGCTATCGAGAGCTAGTGACGTTAGCTAGGTTGCCTGAGCCGGTGCGTTAGCGGTGGTCTGTTTTGGGCCCTTGTATGTAAATGCACTGCGGTACCGCAAACGCAAATAACGTTAGCCAGTGGTACCTTGTATGTATGAGCTAGGTAATATTCGGAATTATCAGAATGCGTTTACCTAACGTTTCATGTTTAGACGGAATTCAAGCTGTTTCTGTCGTCGTTCGGTTTAACCAACGTTTACTGTGTAGCGTTAACGTTATAACAGGGCCGTCATGTTTTTTTCAGGAACGGCCACTTTGCGTGCATTTGGTGGAATGCTGGAAAATGGTGTTATTTCTTCCGGTAACCATCTAAAACAAAACTACGTCTTCAACGGGTTTATTCTGTTTGATCGAAACTGGAAATGACTGAATCTCATAATGATGTATTATGTATATAGGCTGAAGCAGCTCTGTTTATTTAAGAAAGGAACAAGCTGTTGTTGTTTTTTGGGAACTTGACAGTCAATGGTTACGTTATATGCTTAGTGTCGAGATCAATTTTGTTTAGGTCTCGTGACAGTGGCTGGTGGACTGTGGAATCCCATAATGCATAGCTGCAAACGAGTGTTTTCCACAGGGTTTTATTGCTTTTACCCTTTGGTTTATGTCTCACTTTTATATGGAGTCTTCAGACTGTACAATTATGGATGTATTTTATTGTTGCATTGCTTGTGGTGGACAGCTGTTGCTGATGTAATTCAAAGAGAAACGCAACCTTAATCGGAGACATCACGAATGTACTTGATATATCATGGCAATCATCTGTTATGTTTATTGAACCTATTTCCTTCTGTCTTTTCATTCTTCTTCAATATAAGTAGGAATGTGGTTTATGTAACAGTGCCCACTTTACCCCTCCTTAACGTGTATGCTTTCCACACTAGATCACATTGTTCACACATATACAAGAAAATCAATCATGGGAAAAAAATATTCAAGGCATTTGAGTAGGTCTACACTAATTGTAATATCCTCTTCGGTAATACATGTGTTTAGCTGCATCTGGCCTGTAATTATGTGTTACACTACACACCAACTTATTATAAAACTCAGATTTGATATATAATGCTGCATACTAGTCAAAACATTTTAATGTATTGGTGCATTTAGGCTGGTGGCACATTGAAAGGAATATTGAGTAGTATTAGTGAGATCTCAAAGTTTGACCGAATTGAACAGAGCTGCTTAGCTGTAAATATAACTTTTTAGACCTATGTATCTCAGTTTCAGTTGTTCTTCAGTTATTGCAATCCTTTCTAAGATATGAACAATGACATCACGGAATCTGTGCTTGGTGTGAAATATTTTTCTCATGATCCTAATGGTTGTTGACTTGTGTTGCAGCTGAAAAATATGTTTATATTTTAAATGTAAAATAATATTGTTACCAATATCTTATACAATTTTGCCAATACTGATAAAAAAAGAAAGAAAAAGAAGTAAATTTCCCTTCTGTACCAACAAAACAAAGTCTTTATTATAAGTAAAACAAAAAGTTTTAAATGAATCTGATCTGAAACTTGTTTTACAAACTGCATGTCACGGATGTTTGATAAATCAATCAAATATACTTTACTTGATAAATAGTATAATGTATTGTAGAAGAAGAATGTATTTCAGAAGATTCTCACCACTCTAAAAATGTTTTTGGATTATTTAAATGTCCCACTTTGACCATATTTTAGTAGTACAAAAATCAGGATTTTGATTCATCAATTAAAGTAAAGTACTTCACTGAAAGGGCTTTAAAGGAGCGTGCTTAGATGTATTTTTATCAACCAATAGAGTACCTTGCTTGATCATGTTGCTTTGCTACAAAGGTTCAATTTTTTTTTAAGCCGGATGCTGTGTTTTGCCAGATGCCCCTGAGTTTGCACCCATGCCAACCATATGACAGGCTGGCTCTATTCGAATACATAAAAGAGCGAAGTTCTCAAGTCAGTTTGAAAGGGACCTTTTAAGGCACAATGAGTAGGGTTATTAATTAAAGAAACATTGCATAGACTCAAATAATACGAAAAAAAAGCGTTTTCTTTTCATTTGTTGTGACCATGACATTTTTGTCCCTTTCTCTGACTGCTCTGCCTTCAGATGTATCTCTTCAGTCTCTTCTCCCGAGGCTCTGTTTTGCCCTGGATCATACTAATCACTGTCGTATGAGTCGAAAGCTCTGGAAGCTCCGCTAATTCTTCTGTCTGGACACTATGCCTGTTAGCTAGAAACTGGCTAGTGTGGTTGAGCAGGAGCCAATGTTGTGACTGTTGTGTTTACAACTGCAAAACAAATCCTTTCCATTCTGTCTTTCCAAAAAGGAATAACATGCTCCTTGGTGCTATTATTTAAGCAGCCATACATTGGTTACTAGTATTGGTCACAGTACTAGAAGTGTTGTTTATCCAATTTATGAAGCTGCATCTCTTCATATTGCACTTTTTTCACGAGAACCGGGCATTGTTTAACGGTTGAAACATAATTCTGCTAGTTCGGTTGTATGTGAAAATGATTTGAGCCTTTGTTATTAATCAGTAATTAGTGAAATTGCCATATTATCCCCCATCCCAAAAGCAGTGGAACATTGCTTTAACAATTCTTCATCTGCTTCTGTCTTCTCAGGTGTGTGCTGTTGAACTGCTGTATGTGTGCTGTTTGTCAGTCTGTCCATCACCGCTCTCTGCCTGCCTGTCCATCCGGCTCGCCTGGAATGGGCCACAACTCCCAAAGACTAGAACACACCTCTTTTTAATCTGAGCTCCGCCGTCTGGACTCCCAGGTAGGCACAAGTGCTGTTACATGATCCTTCAAATAATCCTGATTCTCGTCTATTATGCCTCTGATTTTGACCTTGTTTTGATTTAAATAACGCGTGTCTCTTTTTTGTTTCTTATAGCCAACATGTTTTGGAAATTTGACCTCCACACCACATCCCACATTGACACGCTGTTAGAGAAGGAGGATGTGACGCTGACAGAGGTGATGGACGAGGACGATGTCCTGCAGGAGTGTAAGGCCCAGAACCACAAGCTGGTTGACTTCCTGCTGAGACCACAGTGCATGGAAGACCTGGTGACCTTCATCACACAGGAACCCGATACTGATGTTGAGGAGAAAGTTAAATACAAGTAAGAGAAAATGGTGCAAAGGATAAGGGGATCAAAACTAATGACCTGGTTTGTTTCCTTACAAGAAAGGTTGTCAATTTAAAGTGGACCTATCATGCTATATTTAAATGATATATTGTAGGGCCATACCTATATAAGGTATATTTATACGTTTCTGTTTTCAAAATACCAAACAGATCATGCATTTTAGCCATGCCTCATTTCGCTCTATGTGCTGTTTGCTGTCTACGGGTCTGATTCTGCTGACCACGCCCCCCTGCAGGAGAGGTGAGACGTGCTCTGATCAGCTGCTGGGCTGTCAGAAGAGGGGGAGAAAAAGTGATCTCCGTCCTCCGTGTTTTATTATATAGAGTCGTTATTCATTTGTTTTAAAGCTCAATAAATAACAAAGAAGACCTTTGACCGGCACTTTTCTAATTTTGTCCGGAAGATTTAAACTTTAACGGACATCTTGACCGGCGAAAGAAACTGAAACTGAAACTCTGCCGCACGGTCCCCTCGTTCCTTGGAAGAGGCGGAGAGGTGGGTGTTTGTCATCTGCTGGTGGACTAACCGGAGAGAATTACAGTGCTTGCCTCGACGGGGAGGGATTGCATTGAATTAAAGCAGCGGGAGCAAACGCTTGCCTCAGGGAGGGAGAAAGAAAGCCACAGCGGAGAATAAACAGAAGGGTAACTATGGGCGGGAAGTCTTCTTCGCTGCTTTTGTGGCAGACTACAGCGCCACTTACAGGCCTGGCATATGTACTACAGCGTCTCCAGCGCTTTCGAGTGGAAATGGCCGGCCGTGGCCCAACCCCACATTCCCCTGATAGGTATAGGGTTGGCCCAATAGCCGTAGCGCCACTTCTGTGACGTCATAGAAGTGTTCAAATCTGGATCAGTCTGTATCAGATCCGTTGCAGCCCCTTTTTTAGAGATTTTGGTATGGAGGAAAATAGAGAGGGTTGTGTTTTCTGACACTTGGTGAGTTCCCTGGAACACCGGGGACACATATTCATGTATAAAAGACGTACAAAAGTGCATTTTGCATGATAGGTCCCCTTTAACAAACGCCTATGTGGACTCTTTCTGCTTATTGCATTCATTAGTTTAGCCATTACAGTGTGAGAAAAAGTTTTTAGAGAGTACTTGTCCATGGACAAGTGAGTTTGGCAATTTACTTGTCCGAATACATTTTTCACTTGTCCAGAATGGACAAAAATTGGGGCCACTGGAATCTTTTTCTTCGCCAACGTATTTTACATTTTCCCACGTTTTTTATGACACCGCTAACGTAAGTGAGCGGTAAGATTTTACTGCATCACACATAGTGTTGGGTATAGTTTGGATTTTAACGAGTCAAATCTGTATTCCTATTTACAAATCACTTCATACTGTTTAATTTCTTACGGTTATTGAATAAAATTATATAAAAATAATCTCTGCATTGTTTAGTTAGTTCTATGTGGTGCAGTTTGAGAATGTACAATTGGCCAAGTCTCCTCTGATGTTACACTGCAACCTGCCTGTGAGACAGAGTCCAACCACACATGTCCAACACATAGGCCTAATAATAATAATACATTATATTTATAGCCTATAGGCCTAGCGCTTTTCTACAACTCAAAGACGCTTGCATGCTTACACATGTCCTGCAATACACATGCTGCAGCTGCCCAGCTGCTCACTGTTTGTAAAAGTAAATAAATAGTATTTTCATTTCAATAATGTATTTTCTATACCCTGCTTCATAAACAATACTGACATCCCTGTGCTCCTCCGAGTCTGGGGGTCGGGGGATGTGAGGACAGCGCGAGGACACAGACAGGGAGGCTGCTTTACTTCATAAAGGAAATGGCGTCAATATTAACAACGTAGGAGCTAAAACGCTTAATAACCTTCATTACGCGTTAAAGAAAGAACATAAGAAAGTTTGACAAAGATTAGGCTGTTAAACGGGCAGCGGGTCCGCTGTGTGTAGAAAGAGAGAGGGAGAGAGAGAGACGCTGAGCTGCACCATGCAGCGATCAGATGATCCGGAGCAGGGAGAGAGAGCTGCGGGGCTCGGCCTCCTGTCCTCACAACTCTTATTAATCCCGGACCGGTACCGGACAATTGTTATTTGTTCCTACTCGGAACCGAGTTTTGCTTCCCAACCCTGCCACTGTGCTACACTCCCCGCCCCGCCCCCGTCTTACGGTACAGAAAGCGGCGAGATGCATTTCCTGAATCGACAAGCAGAACCGAAACTAACATTTCTAAACGAACAATGGCGGACACGGACAATTTGCGAATGAGTTCTGCCTTTTGTAAACTGAATTTATCAATAATTTGTCAATAAATGAGGGCTAAAAATGTCACTTGTCCACCGGACAAGTCAATTGAAAGATCCACTTGTCCGATAATGTAAATAACACGTCCCGGACGGTGGGACGTGTGCTTTTTCGCACACTGCATTATTTGTACATGTGCTGTTAATAGTGTAGACCCTCAGAGAAAACAGAAGGAAAGAATGTCTTCTAATTAAATGATACAGGGTAAAACCTTTCATCAATTGACTTCCTATGGATCACTGCTGTGTACAATTAGAGCATTTTAACAAACACAGCATTTGCTGGGAGGTGGTGGTCATTTTAGCCCCCGCTGAAAAAGTTCCTGTTTCCTTTGGCTGTTTTGTCAATAGATCCAGTCACTTAGTAGCAGCAGGAACTCAAGGTTCAAGGTTCTTTATTGTCAATCTGACATAGCTACAGAGTAATTATGCAGTTGAAAATCTTATGTCACAGGCTTCTCCAACAATGCAACATAATAACATAACATAACAACAATAAGAGCAAGAGCAATACAAAAACAATAACAGTTATAAAAATGAAACAAAGCTATGATGTGGAATAGTGCAGTATGAGTCTATATACAAGTTATTGGAACGACACATATATATTAGGTATTAGATACATACCACTGAGCAGCAGCCGAATGCCCGAAGCCGTCTCAACAGTTCAATTTTTTAACAGTCTCACTGCCCGCGGGAAGAAACTGTCTCCGAATCTTCTTGTCCTTGCCAGGATGCTGCGGTAACGTCTGCCAGACGGCAACAGAAAGAACAGTTTGTGGCTGGGGTGATGGGGGTCTTTGATAATCCGTAGTGATTTCTTCCTGAGCCGCTGGGAGTAAAGGTCCTCCATGGATGGCAGCTCCGTCCTGGTGATGTGCTGTGCAGTTTTCACCACCCTCTGTAAAGCCTTACGATCGAGGTCGGTGCAGCTGCCGTACCAGGCCGTCATGCTGCCAGTGAGGATACTCTCTATCGTGCACCTGTAGAAGTTGCAGAGTATCCTGGAATCCATTTTGAACCTCCTCAACCTGCGGAGGAAGAAGAGCCGCTGTCGAGCTTTCTTAGTGATGGTGGTGGTGTGAAGAGACCATGTCAGGTCCTCAGTGATGTGGACCCCAAGGAACCCGAAGCCTTTGACTCTCTCCACCGTAGTCCCATTGATGGCGATGGGGGCGTGTCCCTCTCCCTGCTGCTTCCTGTAGTCCACAATCAGCTCCTTAGTTTTGCTGATGTTGAGATGGAGGTTGTTATCCTGGCACCAAGATGTCAGGTTTTCGACCTCCTCTCTGTATGCCGTCTCGTCATCGTCTGTGATCTGGCCGATGACGGTCGTGTCATCAGCAAACTTCACGATGGTGTTGGAGCTGTGTGTGGCCACGCAGTCGTGGGTGAACAGGGAGTAGAGGAGAGGGCTGAGCACGCAGCCTTGAGGGGCACCGGTGTTGAGAATCAGGGTGGAGGATGTGATATTTCCCACCCGCACTGCCTGGGGTCTGCCCGTCAGGAAGTTCAGGATCCAGTCGCAGAGGGCGCTGTTGAGTCCGAGGTCTCTGAGCTTGATGGCCAGCTTGGAGGGCACAATGGTGTTGAATGCTGAACTGTAGTCAATGAACAGCATTCTCACATATGTGTTCCTCTTCTTCGGGTCCAGGTGTGAGAGGGCAGTGTGGAGGGTGAGGGCTATGGCGTCGTCTGTGGACCTGTTTGCTCTGTAGGCAAACTGCAGGGGGTCCAGAGATTCAGGGAGGGAGGAGGTGATGAATAATTTGACTAACCGCTCAAAGCACTTCATTATGATGGAGGTGAGTGCTACTGGGCGGTAGTCGTTGGGGCAGGTGATGATTGTCTTTTTGGGGACAGGAATGATGGTGGAGTGTTTAAGACATGTGGGGACTACAGACTGCAGCAGGGACCTGTTGAAGATGTCTGTGAACACCTCTGCCAGCTGAACTGCACACACCCTGAGAACACGGCCAGGGATGCCATCAGGTCCAGGAGCCTTGTGTGGGTTAACCCTTTTAAAGGATTTACACACATCTGCCCTATTTAAAACAAAAGGGCAGTGTAGCTCCTGGTCCCTCTGTACCTCCACAGCCTGGCTGCTCTCAAAGCGTGCAAAAAAACTGTTTAGCTCATCTGGGAGAGATGCGCACGCAGACACTCCCGCAGCACCCCCCGCTGCTCCTTTGTAGTCAGTCATTGTCCTTAGTCCCGCCCACATATTCCTAGTGTTACAGCCTTTGAAGTCAGATTCCACCTTCTCTTTGTACTGTCTCAAGGACTAACTCAAATCCCATAGTTCCTATTTTTGTTCCTGCATCCCCTTTTTGCATTCTTTCCTGCTGTTCCACCACGTCTGAAGACCACAAAGCATGTGTTTCTTGGTTGCATTGAGAAACTACAAAACAACGTATCTAGAGAACTATGAAAATTACATAATTGAGTGATCAGTGGCGTAATAAGGTTGTGATTGGCCCCGGTGCAAATATTGTTTTGGGGCCTCCCCAAACATAAGCGCACGCTGATGCACTCACACACGCACGGACATACACTCTCTCTCTTGTCCTTTCTCTTTTGAGCGCTGCTCTTGTGCATTGGTTTGCTGCACATTATAAATGCAAGCTATTACATTTTTTATAATGCTGCCGAACTTGTTGCTGCTAGCTACAGTACAGTACAGGTTAATTTAAAAGGTTCGCTCACCACGCAAGGTATCACATGACATGAAAGTAGGGCTGGCTCTAGCCAATTTGATGCCCTAGGCGAGATTTTGGCTGGCGCCCCCCCCCCCTAAAGAATAAATCAAAAATCTCTAGAGAAGACAAATACACTACAAAAATAGAAACTTATTGACATGGGTAATATACATCAAAAAGGCTTCAAATGTATTCAGTATTGTATGAACACGTTTGAATTGGGGGGTGGACGTCACATCCTCTAGGGGGGTCCGGGGGTATGCCCCCCCGGAAAGAAATGTTTGAACATTTTAAAGTAAAATGCTTCAATCTGGTGCACTTTGAGCACACAATTACTAGAGACTAGATCTACGGGGTACAACTCTAAAACACCCATATGAAAAAGATCGGTTTACATTTTAATAATCAAATAAGTATGTGAACATAACCAATAACCTACCATAGCCAATAACAAATAAATGTAACTTGTGTTTTTGTTGTTGTTCATTCATATCTTATTTTACCTAGTTAACATTTATTTAGTAATGCACATTTTTATTTCTCCAGTTGTAAACGATAGTTTTGGTTTACTGTCCTATAGTATACATTGGAATGATTTCAAACCTGTTTATCCCAATAATTATAAAGGAGTGCCTTGGAAATATGTGTTTACATAAATTGTGACCAAACCGTTTGAGACCCACTGAGATAACTTAGACTAAAGTGAACTATCTAAACACTCAGAGTCCTTTACCTCACTGAGCTGTAGTTATCAGCCTCTCAGTCTGTCAGGAGAGAGCTATCCTCCACCCTTGTTGTAGAAACATCTTCTTCTTATATCCGTTAGCGCAGCTAACACCAGGTGCTAATAACAACAGCGCCGGTACCTCGCTCACTCGCACTTTTGCTGTGAGCTGCGGGCGCCAGATAAGCCAACATCCCCCACTTTCATCACTTACAGCGCCCATCGTACAGTGCAAATGAAAAGTGTAACCGGGGTGAAAAGGGTGTTACATTCACTTAATTATGAATATTGTTACATCAAGGCCGAAAATTAGGATGAGAACCAACGGTCAAAAATGTTTTTTCCCCTCCCAGAGCTGCCAGCGCAGCGCCCCCCCAGATCTGGCGCCCTAGGCGAACATCTATAACGCCAATGCTAAGGACCAGCCCTGCATGAAAGGGAGCAAGGCAGAGTCCTGCACGGGTCTGATTTTCAAGACCCGCTCCCGCCCCGCACCCGCGACTTGCAATACCGAACCCGCCCCGCTACCCGCACATATTGCCAATTAGTTCCGCAACCTGACCCGACCCGTCGGCACAAGATCCGCAACCCGACCCGAACCCGCATATATATATATATATATATACACACACATACACACACACCACACGAAAGGTACGCTGTAGTAGAACATTTTAGATTAGGCTATCGTTGCATGTAAAATACATGACACTTTTCTCTGTGCGCGGCAAAACAAGCTCGCCAAAATGGCTTCACTAGTCTGGCAGTATTTTAAGTGTCCGAAAATGACAATAAAATAGCGGTATGCAACGTGTGTGTGAAGCAGAAATCCTGCAGCTCCACCTGCTGTGACGGACCGGTGAGCGGAGCAGAACACACATTACACTTAGCTATTTTATCTACCTCTGGAACAAGCTAAACTAGTTATAAATATATTTATTCTTCACTGTCGGGTCGCTCATTACTGGATCAGTGAGCTGCAGGAGATACTGACGGGCTGTCAGGAGAGAGAGAGAGGGGGAGAGAGGAAAAGAGAGCGATATCGGTATCGGCCGATACTGATTCCGGCGATCGGCTCCAAAATTGGCGATCGGAGCATCCCTAATAATTGTAAATGATATGTTTTATAATGATTGATCATTAAAGTGTTATCAAAGCTGGTAAAGGTGCAGCTAGTTTGAATGACTTTGTATACTACAGCTTGTGAATTTACTCCAGGTGGAACTAAAGTCTGATTTAACACTTGATTATATTTCACATCAATCATCCACATCTGTAAAGTAACTAAAGGTATTAAATACATGTAGTGGAGTAAAAGTACACCATTTACCTCTGACTTGTGTTTACTGCCAACCTAAAAGTACCTCAAAAATAGTAATCAATACTATATTGAAACGTTATTTGGCTGATTGTTTTATATTGGCTCAGCCAGGTTATATGGGATGCCCAGTCTACGTACAGATGGGTCACTCATTTTGAAATATTAAACTTAGTTTTCTTTTCTAACATTTTTAATTTTTCATCCTCATGTAGAATGCTATTATGAAACACACATTTGGTTGTTCATAGCATAAAGAACATCTGATTTAATGTGAGGTAGGGAAATAATCATTTGAGTATAAGTATGTGTATATAAATATGTAATTTACAACAGCTGTAAGATGCTTGAAAAGCTTGAAAATGCACCTTGAAAATGCTTGAAAAGTGCTTGAATTTGACTTTGGAAAAGGTGTAAGAACCCTGTACATGCTAGTAAATATAAACAACATATGCGTTGAACAAACATATGTTTAAGAGGAAATAAGAACACTTTTTATGGCGCCACTTGTGGGCTTGCAATTCTTATTAATCTTCACAGTGCCGAAACAAAAACTAAATGTATCGACCTATGCAGCATCATGCTGTCTAGAAAAAGCGCTGTGTAGTTGTTAAGGAACCAATAAGCAGAACCGTAAGTCTCTTAACATTGGTATCCGGTTCTTGGCATTTGAAGTTAGTTTCTCAACCCTACACCCAGTGATTGTGAGCGATGCTCAGCTCTGCAAACAGTAATACTCCCAGAGCAGCACCACTTAACACTTCTTTGCATCTACCAGCAGTTTTATACAGTCTTCAGAGTATTTGAAATCTTTTGCCTCTGTCATTAAGAATCAATAATATGGATATCTTATCCAGTGCAAACCTTGCCCCGAAGGAATCAATCAATTTGATTTGAGATAAATATAAAGCCGCAGTTCCACAGCATGGCAAGGCTCTCCTCGTTTTCCGAATGTAGTCTCTTTGCCGAAACTGCCATTTCAACCCGAGACCCACTAAATCTAGCAACCAAAAACAGGGCACTTCGTCCACTGTATGTCATAGATTAGACGGCTGGCTTTCTTAAAATAATCTTAGTTGAGTGAAAAACACTGAATGTCTGAAGGCAAGATATTGAGGATTCTCTAGACCAGTGGTTCTCAACTGGTGGGTCGCGGACCCGTTTCGAGTGGGTCGCAGATGTGAGTGAAAAAAAAAAAAATAGAATTTCTATATATATTTTCTTTTTGTGGAAAAAAGTCAAACTTTTATTTTGAAGGCCCGATTTTCTAACGCTGTGCATGCAGTATCAAGAATCAAGATTGTTGCCGGAAGTCCCCACGGAGAATAACTTTGCGGTAGAACTATTCTTTATACATCCATGGGTACAACTTCAGATAAAAATGAACACATAATGAAATATGACCCCCGGTTTGATGATTGACAGGTCACAGAACAATGGGGGCTATCTACACTACCCACAATGTAAAGTAATTCACACAAACTATCTCCTCTTTACTCTTCTCTCTGTGTTGAGCAGCAGGTTCAGCTGTCAGAACTAAGTGAAAAACAAACAATGGCATAAAATATTATTGATTGTCTGGTAGTAATATATTTATTTATGTTCTTCTCAGAGTGTACCAGAATGCGTAGTTTATATGTTGGTATTTCAAAAAATCTTCTGGGGGAGAATCCCCCAGACCCCCCTTCTGGGGTTGAGTTTTCAGCATGAGTGCCTTCTTATGTTATACAGTTCAGCTTTGATTCCATCATCTCATTAAACCTTATTTAAAAGCATACTTTAGTTCTGTGAAGGGATGTATGAGATATATGCACTGTATTTCACTTTAATTAATATTGTATGCTGAAAAGCGTATATATTACAGCACGATTTTTTGTTGAATAGATTTGAGTGGTTCAAAATTTCGGGTCGCGATTTATTGACAAAGGAAAAAGTGGGTCCCGAGGCCTGACCAGTTGAAACCACTGCTCTAGACCAACCAGTGATCTGCAGTGTTTTATCATCACCTCGCCCATTGGACTTTGAAACTCTGCTGAGACATTATTTGAGTAGAAGCATACCATGCAGTAGAAGCACGGCCTAAGTATCAGCTTTTGTTCTCCTACAGGTATCCCAACATCTCTTGTGAGCTGCTTACGTCAGATGTGGGACAGATAAACGACAGACTGGGAGAAGATGAAAAACTGCTGATGAAACTCTACAGCTTCCTCCAGAATGAGCCGCCGCTCAACCCACTCCTGGCCAGCTTTTTCTCCAAGGTGCTGTCCATTCTCATAGGACGCAAACCTGAACAGGTACGTTGGGGAGAAGTGGTTATCTAAAGATGCAAATCCTCATCAGCTAAGTTGATGAGTTTTCCAAAATCCATTTGAAAATGCATTAATTACTGTTAATCTGCTCACATGCTCTGATTTTCGTAATTTATAGATAGTGGATTTTCTGCGGAAGCAGGAGGACTTTGTAGACCTGATGATCAAACACATCGGGACATCTGCCATCATGGACCTGCTCCTCAGAATGCTCACCTGCATCGAACCACAACAGCTACGACAGGATGTTCTCAATGTGAGTAGTGGGACAACACTAGATAATATCCCGGATCAAATCACACATTACACAGTTCAAATGGAACCATCCCAAACTTCAAGAACAAGCCAGTACATTTAATTGTAGTCATTGTAATCTGGCATAGATGTTGAGGACAAGTGTCTTTTCTACTTCAACTGGTCCAAAGGGTGTTGAGACTTTCTCTGTATTTGCTTCTGAATGAAAAACAATAGATACTATTCAGATAACGTTGAAGAAATATTTTTAAACTAGCCACCTTTTTAAAAAAAGAAAGTGTTTCTAAATATAATTGTAATATTCCTTTTTGAAGACAGAGTTTTTGGTTACAAATTCAGCACAATTGTGTATCTATCTTGCTAGTTCTAGCTCAGTCAGGTGCCCGTATGTGTCGTCTACAATAACATCTCATTGCAAATGCTGACCTGGCAGAATTTAGCCTGGTTTTGCAAGGCAAGCATCACGGTACAATACAACATGGGTATCAGACACAACTCAGACGATTTGCATGCACGTAATATGCATTTGTTGGAAGGTTCTTTAAGTTCTTGTCAGGGTCTTCCTAAGATATAAAATAAATGGCATGGCACTTGGATTTGTAACGGGTCATTTCTTCTTATTTGATGGACATGTGCCAAAAAGGGATAAGTCAGAGTGATGATGTTTTGTTAATTATGTCTACACAGAATCTTTTGAATTTCTATGATAATGCAATTATGAATTTGAAAACATACTTAACATTTGAGGTCTTGTTCGCCTTGTTTCCTCCTCATATTGTGTGTTTCCATCTGACATCTGTGCTCTCTGTCTTCTCTCAGTGGCTGAATGAGGAGAAGGTGATTCAGAGACTGGTGGACATGGTACAACCTTCTCAAGATGAGGATGTGAGTTTCTCACACACTTCACTGTTTCTTCCAATTGCCACCAGGACATTTAAGTCCCCTGGTCTCTTTATGAATCATTGAACCATTTGTTTTGTTTTAATGTAACTATTATGAACTACTCCAAGTTGTGTTTTCAGAGGATTTGCAGATCTACATTTAAGAATCATTTTTCCAAAAAGGATTTGTATTCTGATGTTTATTTTAAAATGTGTTCAGGAATATTGGGTCCTTGATTGGATGTATTTACATTCTATCCCCCCCCCCTACACAATCGTTCTTGTTTCAGAGGCACTCCAATGCCTCGCAGTCTCTGTGTGAGATCATCAGGCTGAGCAGAGACCAGATGTTCCAGGTCCAGGGCTCCTCAGATCCAGACCCACTCCTGGCAACACTTGAAAAGTAAGCACGTGTTCAGCTACACAAACTCTTAGGAGTGCCTGTAAGAGTTTTCCTTATGCACTTCTTACTGTACCAGTGATTTTCATATACGTCACTTGTTGGCTTTTGTTTATTTGGTACGGGGTAAAAAAAATAAACATGGTGGCATGGGCTATTGTCCTTTTTGCATAGTATGCTGTTTACCAGTGACTGATGCTTGCTTTCCTTCACCTTCCTCTCTTTCCTCCTCAGGCAGGAGACGGTGGAGCAGCTGTTGTCCAACATCTTTGAGAAGGAGAAGAATGAGTCTGCAATCGTCAGTGTTATCCAGATCCTCCTCACATTGTTTGAAACGAGGAGACCCGCGTACGTCCTGTGGCCTCTGCCATTCGTCATTATGTTTTCCCAGATTGGATATAGTGTATATAGTAGAGGATTGGGTGCTGGACAATATGACGTGAAAAATAGATTATTGTACATCAGATAAGATATACTTTCTTGATCCCAAATTGAGAAATAGTTTTGCTCTAGCAGGCATTGCACCTGAATAAAAGTATACATAAAACATTAACAAAAGAAAGATATACATCTATAGAGTATCTCCAGAGTAAAACAAATATTCAGAATAAGTTACAACTTACTATAATAAACTAACCTGATATTACTAATGAAACTATGCAGGATATATACATTATGAAGTTTGCTAAGTACTTGCTGTTTTTCAATTAAGCTGCAATACTACATTCCTAACCCATAACTGTTGTTCTTGTCCTACTTTAGGCACAGTCCAAAATAGTAAGGGTATAACCTTCTATGTTATAGGTTTGAGGGTCATATGGATTGCCCCCCAGGGATGTCCCACCCTTCATTCTCAGTCAACCACAGCATCCTGGAAGCTGTGAGACCCCGACTCAAAGACTTTCACCAGCTGCTACTGGAACCCCCAAAGGTAAAAACACTGACAGACAGATGTAAGCTTCTTTAACATAAAACAATATATTGTATATTAAAGTGACAAGTCTGCATGGAACTATTTCATCCAAGTTAAGTCCAACCCGTTATGAGCTGTTCTCCGTTTAGTTTGGATTAGTATGTTTCAAACGTTTCTTAGAAAACAGCTGAAGATGACAGATGTTCCAGTCACAGAATCAGTATGTGACATGGAGTCTTTTACCACACACGTATTCAGGAATTGCTGTCGATGGATCCCAGTCACTTGTGTATATATTGAGCAGAGTTTTTGATCTCCACCAACAGGCGAATCTGATGAAGACAACGTGGGGGGTGCTGGACCCCCCTGTGGGCAACACCAGGCTCAACGTGGTCAGACTGGTGGCCAGTCTGCTGCAGAGCAACACTCACAGCATTAACACAGAACTCATTAACCTCAACACACTGGGAATAATACTAGTGAGTAATATCTACTTGAGGCCCGATTGTTTTCACACTGCCAATCCTACAAGCTCATTACAGTAACATGCCTTACAATTTAGGCTGAGGTAGTCTCTTTATCTTTGTGAAACATTTCATTGTTTTTTCTATTTTTAGGTTGAAGTTACAGATTATGAATATAATGCTGCAATTATCTTATCTCCTAAAAAGTGTTCTTCCATGGGAGACATTAAAGTTAGTTTTCTGGCAAGTTTATAAGAAATTGATTGAAGATTGTGTTACTAGGGTTACGGTTTCTTTAGTTTATGTTCTGTTTTTATTTATACTTTTTAGCTCATATAAAATAAGGCCTACATAACTCACAATATAGTCTAAACCGTTAACTGCCTCCATAAAGCATAGAATCGTCTGCCCTCAGTTGCTATGCTCCGATGCTAACGAACATCTTATCCAACCTTTTATCGCTGAAACATTTAATATGCTGTCTTAGCTTATTTTTAGGTTGTAGCTACAGATTGTGAATATAAGGCTGTCATTTTATAATGCTGCAATTACTGCAATGAAGTGTTCTTGGAATACAATAAAGTGAGTTTTATCATTAAGGACAAGGAGTACTGATAAAGTTCAGTTTTAGACAATGACAAATCTATTCTGATGTTCCTATTGTATTTATTATTTTGTTTTGCTCCACAGGATATGTATTTCAAATACATCTGGAACAACTTCCTCCACATTCAAGTGGAGATCTGTACAGCCATGATTCTGGCTATGCCCCCCGCCCCCACCGAGATCCAGCCAGACACAGAGCAGGACAATGCAAGGGAGAGCATCCTCATCAAACACGTAAGATTGGAACAATTTCATCAAATAAAATAACTTGGATTATATTTGTTGTACTGTACTGAAAGACACAAGTCACTATGAACTACTACATTGTGGCCACGCTGAATTGTTTGTATTCACTTTGTTTGTATTTTTCTTCCACCAGCTGTTTCAAAAGTGCCAGTTTATACAGAGAATTGTAGAAGCCTGGAGCTCCAACGAGAAAGATCAGTGAGTATTCTGCTCTGTGGAAACACGGGTCACTCTGTCAGAGTTTAACAATGCCTTATTCATTTGCTGCAGTAGAAAAGAATACACCAGAAGTCCTTTGCTCTTTTACCATGATCCCTACTGCTTATGGTTATATTAGTGTGTATATATACTATATATTATATACAGAGTGGTCTAGTGGTCAGACTAATGACTCGTAAAGATATGTCCTCATATCTGGTGTGTTCATTTGTGTTATAGGGCAGAAGGTGGTCGTCGACGAGGATACATGGGCCACCTCACCAGAATAGCCAACTCTATAGTTCATAACTGTGACAAAGGCCCTAACGGTCCACAGATACAACAGCTCATCTCTGGTAAGGACTTGTTTATCTATCTCCACATTTGTATGTGTTGTTCTCATGTCGCATCACTTAGCTCTCTGTTCATCTAATTTTCCTTTATGTAATTGCATCTGAAATGGACCTCAAGGCACCATTCGTTAACATTTCTGTTAAATATACAGTATATGAAGATGCAGTGTATATATAAACTGTGTGTGTGTGTGTCAGAGCTGCCAGCAGAAGACCGAGACAAATGGGAGAACTTTATTTCTGGGCAGCTGTCTGACACAAACAAGAGAAACACTGTGGACCTGGTGAGTAGCTACAGGAACATCATCACTGATGTCAAGCTCTAATGTTTACTACACTACATGTTAGTTGTACAATGCAGTTGTTATTGTGTTGTCTCTGTACTCCAGTGCATTGGATATGTAAAATAAATAGTAACTGAATAATTAAGTTCTTATTTTTCCAGATCAGTTTTTGAGCTTAATTTTATACAATTTTAGATATTCATAACGATTTAGACTAGGATGCACTGCGCCAGAGCACAGGCAAAAATCAAGATGGATTTATTTGATTACACTGGACAGCTCTGCCTGATCAGTAGTGTGGAATGCCCATTGGTGCGGTCAATATATTTTTCTTCTTTTCTTGCTTAAATTATTTTTTTCTTTAGGTGAATACACACCACATCCATTCTTCCAGTGATGATGAGGTGGACTTTAAAGACAGCGGCTTTCACCAGGACTCTTCTCTACAACAAGTAAGATCTACACACACACACACACACACACACACACACACACACACACACACACACACACAAACTTGCACTAAAGCAGGCCCATAGCCACACACATCTAATTTATCTACAAAATAGATGTAAGTCTTTCTATCACCGTCTTTAACAGAAGCTCTGTTGATTCGAGGTAAATCCTTTAAGCATATTCTCTTAACAGCATTAGGAAAAGTGCCATACAAATCCCATGTATTATTATTATTAACAGTTCTGATAGGACAAAATGATGTTCAAACCAGTGTGCATAGAAAGGGAAACAGTTTTCCCTAAATGACCAAAAGTGCTAATGAATCATGATTACATTTTTTAAAGTGAGACGTCTTACAATGGCTACTTGTATAACTTGTAATCTCTGTAAAGAAAGCATATTATGCAACATGGGTTGAGTGATTCAACTCAAAAAATCTGGCTTCTAATGCAATCCAAATATTTATTTGTGTTATTGAACAAAACTAACTCATTTAACAAAAACTAGAATGACAGGAATCCTTGTCTTTGGTTTCTTGTTGAGGTGTTTTGGGACTTTTGCAGTGCAGATCGTCAAACATTGAAATGTTTACACCTCATGCTCTATAACACTAAACGCAAATCCCCTATTCGCCTATTCCCCTAACCTCAATCTGTTGAAATGCAAATAATTCAAGCTAAATATCCCTTTAAATTCAAATATGTTGTGACTATGGGTCTTGCAAAATCTACTACTAACTACTAATGTTATTTAAGAAATTTGACTTCAATTTATATTCTCTGATGTGTTTTAAATGAATCTTAAAGCATTTTGGCATCTGACTATAAATGCATGTTTGTGCTTTTTTTTTAGCCATTAACCTGTCTAGTGTACTTGTTAAACATTCTTTTGTTTCTACATCTTAGTATGTGCATTTGCTATTTTCTGTACTGCAAGTAATGACCAGCTGTGTATAGAGCCAAGACTATATCATTATCGTTGGTCCTGGGTTTTGCCAGGCCTTTTCTGATTATCAGATGCAACAAATGACGTCCAATTTTATTGAGCAGTTCGGCTTCAATGACGAAGAGTTTGCTGATCAGGACGATGTTGTGGAGTGAGTACTCATCCTGCATGACTGGAACTGCTGTCTTCATATTACTGTGTAACAATCAAGGGACAGGGCACATAAGCACATAACAAAGTTGGTGGTGGGGGGCATTAATTCATTTCATAATGTCACATTAATATGCTCTTCACTTTGTTTGAAAACCCTGTTTTTAATGATCTGCCTCATTTGTTATGACATGAGCTTTTTCTTTGATTCCTATTCAAGGTTCATGTTGACATAAAAATAAGTAATGCCACTTATTGCTGTTCAGCACAATTCTGATAGTTTCATAGTTGTGATTGGACCAAAATAACCTTGACAGTAACAAAAATGTCCCAATCAAAAATGTCCTTGCAAAAAAACAGCTACTGCCATAATAAATACATAATATGGCTTAAAAAGAAGAAACTATTATATCCAGCTTTATGTTTTTCTGTGCTCTCCCTTTCTATATTTCTTAGGTGGCAAACTGGTTGTGGGGGTGAAATCTTCTGCAACTGTTGGGGCTGTGGGAGATGGCTGTTAGTCGATCATTGATTTCAAATGTTTGCTTCATTTGAAACAGTTTGTGATTTGACGTAGAGATTTTCTACATAGATGTTTGGATTAGCATAATCAGGCTTTGCAAAATAGGTAGGGGGGGTGGGTGAAACAAGTCCACCAATACAAACGTTCAGCACAATCCATTCCTCAAGTCCTCACAATCATTCTTCTAACTTTAAATGGGTTTACAAGAGAGCATCTAAAAAACAAAATGGATGGATTCAAGCATGCATTTCTAAATATGGAAGATCTGGAGGTTTGATCCTGTTTAAAAGACTTCCATCAATAGTCATTACTAGTTATACATTAAACAACAATAAACGGCTGAAATGGTAACATTGGATACACAGCAGCATTTCCTGCTGTCTCAAATTCTCTGTCAGTTCTATATACTTCTATTTCATATAAGAATGACATGACTGTAAACATTGTGAGGGTGATGAGTGTTATTTGCTGCTCTGTTGTATTGGTGTCTCTAAAATGCTCCCATTCTAGTAGGGGCTCAGGTCTGGTGTTCCTTCTATCTGTTCAGGCGAAATGCCGGGAAGGTATCAACCTGGCATTTAAAGGTCAACTTAAAGTCAAAGGCCTAAACACATGTGCATTGGACACTGACTGTGCTTTAAATCAAACTGGCCAGTTATCATTAATGCACGATGGACTGTAAAGCGTGTATGAGAAGATTCAATTAGGATACTATTATAGTCCCTCCTATATGTGCCATATCCGTTATCAAAAACTTTGAAAAGCGGGGAAGAGTAACGGCCCGTCCACACAGCGGCGTGCGTTGAAGCTTGCCGGCGGGCGTGTCTGAAACTCGACCAACAACCAATCACATGAATCTCCCGCCCCTGACACACAAGCAGCGGTTTGATTGGCTAGAGCTTGTACTGGCATATGATTTGACTGGCTGACGCTTCTGCAGAGGCTTCAAAAGTTGAACATTGCTCAACTTTTGCAGCGAGCCACGCCAGCAAAGCTCCGCTTCGCTTCCCACAATGCAGTTCGGCGAAAAGTGACGTCACCCCATTCAAAGTCAATGGTGAAGCTTTCAACGTACGCCGCTGTGTGGACGGGCCGTAATAGGGTGATGAGATCGAGGAATTCCTGTGTGTGCTTTGTAGGCTGGTATAAGATGAGGAGTAAGGAGATTGTTGGGTTCATGTGAGGGTTGGACTTAATAGCCGCGTTCACACCGGAGTACTTTTCCCCGTACTTTTCGCGTTTAGTTCCGTTAGTACCCCTTATGTCGCGTTCACACCAAAAAGAGTACTTAATCTCGGGAACTTTTACCCCCATTTTTAGTGCCTGCTGAGAGATGGTACTTTCCTGGGGGAAAAAGGTGCCCCAGTTCTGATTGGCTGGGCGAATTGCAAACCACGCCCCGTACAACTCTGAAATGTTTTATAGAGCCGCCATTTTATTATCCTGGCATTAGCATTAGCATTCGCCCAGCGCGCAAACGCAGAGAGACTAATTTAAGGCAACACAAAATAAAACATGGGAGCGGTGGAGATGATGAGGTGTCGGCGTTCTGGCGATTTACTCGGAAGGCTTCAGTAGAAGCTGCTGGGAGTCCCAGCAGCTTCTACTGAAGCCAGTCCCCAACTCCAGGGACTTCCGGCCGGGGACTTCGGGTGGCAGTATACGCCGTGAAGTTGTTTGCTGCCTGCCAGTAAACCCAAAGCAGAAGAAGACAAAGTTAGGTCAGCGGCTCATTTGCGTAATCTTCCCTCAGGGAAAAGTACTCCGGTGTGAACGCGATCTGTACTAAATGCCCTGGGGTAGTAATAAGTGCCGGGGCACTAAGTGCTGGCACTAAATACGGCAAAGTACTTGGTGTGAATGCGCCTATTGTATATCTAATGTGACTCAGTCTTCATCACCTATTTTAGTGCTGTTCATTAGTTCATTGCAGTCTCATTGGCCTGATGGAATTTACTCTAGCTATCTAACATGGCATCCTACATTTTGACTGTGCTTAGTATGCTTTATAAAGCAGGACTTTTTTGATGAGGTGGTCAATTCAATGCTTTCCGTCACTGAGGTAGTCTCACAATGTTTTAAGCCTTGCTCAGCACAAAATCTGCACGCATAGGGAAACTGCTAGTGCAGCTCAGTCAAATGTGAAGAGAAATATCAAAGATAACCACCGTGTGTTCTTCAGGTGTGATTGCTAAATGCATACTCCTCTTAAACCATAATATAGAGTCTCAGGAACTGCCTTCAAAACCTACGTTTGATTTCTTTGTTCATGTGTGATGTGATAACATTGCAATTCCACAAGAAAATGGTGTGCATCCTGATAAAACTTCAGTTCTAGATCCCACTGACAATGAGGCTCAAACTTGTGTGTCGAGCTTATGTTCGTATGTGTTAAACATTTTTATATAAACAAATGAGGGCTTCTCCATAAATGTTCTTAATTAGATCCATGATAACGACATTGCAGGATACAAAACTTTAAAGTTATTTAAAAAATACTGACTAGGATGAACACCAAAAAGTCTTAATTCTTTCTTTCAAAGAGAACAAATTGTCAGCAAGATAATGTATAATCTATATCCACCTTTTAGTAAGTATGACAGGATGTTGGAAGGTGTATCATTCACTGTTGACAGAGCTACGTTAGTGTCCCTCTGTTTCCAGGTTTTGTGCTAAGCTTTGAGCTGCTATGTTTCTTATCAGATGAAGATGATAAACAATTTACTCATATGTTGGACTTCCGTTCAAACAATAGCCTTTTTGGATACAGACTTGCCATTTGGGAAGCTTTGCCATCTACTAAGCAATGTCGAAAATGGCTTTACTGGTAAAAAAAGAAATTCTACCATGGCCTGTTTATAACTATTTTCTTTTCTTTGACCAGTTTACAAAAAACATGCATATAAAGAACGAAAGTGGCTATGAAAAGCGCAGTTTATATGTTACTATGATCATGAAGGGTTAAAGCTGTGTGCTACTGCCTGTGTGTTGCCATATATGTGGATGCCTAACGACCCTAACTAAACTAAACTCTGTTCTCTTTAACATTGCAGTATTCCGTTTGATAGAATATCAGACATCAATTTTTCACTGAATACAAATGAAAGTGTAAGTACTTTGATTATTAATCTTGAATTCATATGTAGTCAATCACTGAGGAGATCATAACATGATATTGGAACAAATGAAAATGTGTTTTATCATATGGCATGTCTTTTTATCTCACTGTTAACATTCATTTAGAAGCAGATGCCACAAAGCGACATGATGCAAAGTGAAATTCTTAACGAATAAAATATAAGGATTCATCTTAAAACTAAAATTGCCATAGCCTGTATTTGAACCAAGAGCGAAGCATAGGCTGATTTGATCAAAAGCTCTACCACTGATGCAAGACCTAAGCATATATGAATATGCCATAAGTTATTTCCATAGATTTTCCTGATACCTGAGGTATCCACATTAATGCTTCTCGGCTGAGTGACTTTTGTTCTGCAGGGTCCAGCCCTAGTTTGTGAACTTTTGATATGACGTTTTGTTTCTAAATATGTCGCCCCTGTGTGTTTTCCCCAGGCAAATATAGCTTTGTTTGAGGCACGCTGTAAGGAGAAAATCCAGCAGTTTGAAGACGCTGGTTCAGACGAGGAGGATATCTGGGATGAAAAAGATGTCACCTTTGCACCAGAGGCACAGAGACGCCCCAGGTCAGCAACGCACGCACACACAGGATTGCTCTTTGTAATGTCATACAGAATAAACTTTGATACATTTTAACACCTTCAGATCATTCTTCTACTAAAATGACATTTCATTTTTTTTTAAATGTCCCTGGAATATTAACATTATTCATTAGTCATTGGCTAATTCAGCTTTTTTTATAATCAATCAGCCCTTTTTATAATCAATCAGCCCATATGAGCATTGAAAGATGCCAACAACCGTTCACTGTATGTACCTAGTTTAACCCTAATGGTGCGTTCACACTGGACACGATGCCATTTTTGGGCGGGGCGTAATTACATGTAAAGTCAATGCAAAGACGCGGATAGGTGCGAATTCGATTGAAGAAAAAAATGTAACTCCCGCGATTGAGGCGGCCCCGCGAGAGTAACATTTTTTCAACTCGAGCGTCAACTTCGAAGTTGACGCATTCTCGCGTTAGCCAATCAGCGGTGAGGATCTCAGCCTGATGTTGAATCAGAAAACCAAATCATTAGCTGTTAGCACACAGAGCTCACAGCTCAGAAACTTGAGAAAAGTTATACATGTACAAACCACAGTCCCTAGTGAAGATGAAGTTAATTGTCCATTTAAAAATAACTCCTGCTCTGTCTTGTCTCAGGAGCTCGGGCAGCACCGACAGCGAAGAAAGCACAGACTCCGAGGAGGAGGATGTGAAGAGAGATCCGTTCGAAGCTGCCAACCCCAGCACCGACGACAGAATGGAAGTCGACACAGGTTGGTAAACACAAAACTACTACACAACAACCCTAATGGCATATCATTAACTATAAAGAACCCAAAATGTTACCTGGATGTAGATTTCAGTTAAGGGTTTTGCACACAGAGCTGATGATGCAGGTTATGGAAAGGCTATATGCTGCATATCAATGCAAGAAGAACTAGTGCTGGGGTTAATACTTACATTTTCAGACTTATATTTATATTATTATATTATAAATTACATTTTATAGGGCCAGTGTGGACGGCCAACTTTGATGACATCCCCATGGACACAGGTACATCCACTGCTCCAGCCACCAGCCCTAACAACCCTGCTGCCTCCTCTCCTTTGGCCTCCCCCTCCTCTTCCACAGAAGACCTCCCTGAGACCTCATGGAGCTCCCCCCCTCCCGCCACCTCCAACGCTGAAACAGGCTGGGCCGATTTCTCCAACTTCACCCCCGTCAGGTAGGAAGTTCACACAGCGCTTCAGGAGAACGGCGCATCGCTTTGGCTGTGATCGTCTTTGCACCTGAAAGAGTGATTCGTAAATAAAACATCCTCTCTTGCAGCCCCAAAGACCCTCTGAGGTGCAACTCTCCTGTTGCTATGGAAACCAGCCTAGAGACAATGGACCCTCTGGGAGTCAATGCACCCACACAGTCTGAAGGTGAGATGTGTGCAGGAATGAGTTCTTTACCTGAAAATGAGTTAGCATTTTAGCACTTCTGGGCTCCCTTATCTCAAAGTTAAGGTTTTTTTTATTGGGTTTTTGATTAAATGCCCTAATTATGGTCTATGGTGCGTACATGCTTACAATATTTGTACATTTCGTTTACAACATAAAATACTCATTGATGGAGCCATATACGGACTTATATTATTTAATAGTTAACCATTTATTTTATTATTGTTTTTTGTTTATAGTAAATCTTCCTTTAAAGGTGGGGTAGGTAGGTTTGAGAAACCGGCTCGAGATACACTTTTTGTTATATTCCATGGAGTGCTCTTAAAACCTCTTTAGCCCCACGGATGCCGCCGAAGGGGCCGAAATCACAACATCTGCAAGCAAAAGTGTCTGAGGGCTTCTTAAGATTTAATAAACTATGAATGTTTCATATCTATGTAACGGGAAGAAACTCAGCTAACTGATTTTATTTTTTTATTTTTTTTAAACCTCAAAGCTAACGCTGAGCCTCTGAATTAGCCTCGGGCATACAAATCTTAAGGCCGTTAGCACAGAACTCTAGCTATACTGATCGATATACTTATTGGATCTGCACAAACAAGCTTAGATAACATCCTGAAATTCCACAGATTATAGAAATATATATATATATATATATATAAGGATCATCACTGAGCGATCAGAACTCGTGACAGGGGAAGCAAATACAGACAACACACGACGTAGCTTTAGGTAGCAAAATACTGAGATATGCTCACCTTAGCTGTTATTCTGATCAAAAGTTGTGTTCAATGGCATTAAAACGAGAAAAAATGCAGCTGAAGGTTAATCCAATGTGTCTGTCACTTTGAAACAATTATTGATAATCCATAATTCCATTTTTATGCAAAAATCGGAGAAGACAAATTAGCTGCTAATGGTAGCCACCAGAGGTTAGCGCAGCTTCCGGTTTTTCTACGCGTCACTATCACTCCTTATTTGGTAACCTGTGTGTGTATGTGGAACTTTCCCTCGATTCTATTGGCTCTAACGGTCAGAAAGAGGTGTCAACCATCAAAATCGACCAAGGGGGGCCAGAGATATGGAAAATCCACCCAAATGACCCCCAGAACTGTTTTTTTTGTGCTAAATCTCTCTAAAAAGGTCAAATGTCACTTGTTTTGCATCAATCTTGATACAGGGTACTTATTTATGTTGTACTTTGGATTCCTAAAGCTTTTAGTCTACTAACCCATCCATCCAAGGGTAGTTTTCACTATAAGTAAAAAAGAATTTTTGGACGGACACTAATTTAGTTTTTTACCATGTTCAATCTGAATTTTCTTTAAAATAAAAAACATCTATTGATTCTGACTTGTCTACATCCAACTCATAGGTTTATCATTACTTTGAGAAAAAAGATTATTAATTTTCCCCTTTTTAGAAGTGTAGTTATGGTCATTTGTTCTGGAAATGTCATTTTCGAGCCTGAGACCTGAAAAACAGGCTTGGGGCTTAACAGGTTAACATCCCGATAGCAATGAATATCTTAAGTGCTTTGACAAAAAATCCATACAAAAATGTCATCTGTGGAAGCCGTAGTACTGTAAAAAGCACGACCAATCATTTTAGCCGGCCCGGCTAAAATAACTGGATGGCCTACCTGCCTGTCAGCCTTCCATCTGTGCACAAACTTATCTCGAGCCCTCATTGGTCATGTTCGTGTGTGTTGGAGGAGGGGCTCTGTCAGGAAGTGGCAGATTTTTTCCGGCTGTGTATTTTCAAATTCTAGCGATCTCGAGCTGGTTTCTCCATAATTACCTACCCCACCTTTAATTCTAGTATTACCCAAGTTGATCAAACAAGTTGTTTTATGCTTTTGTTTTGAGAAGGCAGTTTTTTGGGCAGTGGGGGATGGGAGACCTGGTGATTATACATTTGGGAAACAGGTGGTGTTGGAGAGTGCACCCGGTAGGCCTATGTTTTTTTACTATCGGGTAAACACGAGGCAAGAGCACAGACAAGAAAAGATTGTACTTGTATATAGTGGCATCAATCAAATATATTGCACAAAACTAACTTTTGCCTGGACCTTATTAAACCCATGCGTAATATTAGCTGACGGGTGCCTCAGCGGCATTTTGTTTTGAGTTCTATTTCTGTTTTATATCTTTTATCTTTGCCGCTTCACTCATGAATGTCCAAAGCTTTTAGTTTCTTAAAAACAGAGGTTGCTAACAATGGTCTCAATCACGTTTTGGTTTATTTTTGGAAGACTGAATACCTCCTGTAGGTTGAGTGTTAAGATCTGACATCTATTCTTTTCTTTCCTAACCCGCCAGATTATGATGGCTGGTTGGGTAACAATGAGGCTTCCCCCTCCTCCAACTCACCTAAGCATTGTGGGAAATCTAAAGCAGAAGAGGAAACGGCCTCCTGTGAGCAGCGCAGCATCACAGAGACGGTCATCAACGGCTCCATGAAAGAAACGGTCAGCCTCACTGTGGACGCCAAGACTGAGACCGCCGTCTTCAAGAGGTTTGCCACACAGAAACAAACACTACTCAGCTCTCTGTGCTAACTGGCCCCAGGCCACCAACACACATCTAATGGTTGTTTTTAAAATAGGTAACTTGCATTTTAATCATCATTTCACTACTGCTGTTGGTGTGCTGCAAGTATTTAGTTTGCTCTTGTAGACAAAATCACCAAAGTGGCAGTGGAGTGACTTATGTGCCAGATAGAGAAACTGTTTAAAAGAAGAAATTCTCAGTATCATAATTGCCAATATCAACCATAATACTCTTGTTTTTCCACTTTTAAATCAACATCCAACAAGTTTGTTTTCTTCCTTCTGTCTCAAAACTAAAAATGCAACACAAAAAGTTTCTAGGTCATAATTGGATAGATTAAAAACCAAACCGTCCAAGCTAAGCTTGAGCTGGGCTAAAATAGGGCCCTCAGACTAATTCAATTATTTCACTGGCTAATAATATATGTTGGTTATAGCTCACATAACGGAATGGAAAGTAAAAATAACAAGATGAAATGCTCTACAGTTAATATATATTTTGCCCTTGAAATTATATTCTACAATATGAGTACCTTTTACAGAATCAAAAACTCTAAATGTAGGGCTAAATACTCGGAGTATAACTGTAAACAGAAGTCCTGGTTTGGTCCATACCAGGTTTAGCAGTCAAGGTTTGTTGTAAGTTTGGTATATGGGAGGAAACGTTTATTTTCAAACAGAGAATACTGCAAGTGTGAAATGCAGAGAAAATCTTAACATTGGAAAAAAACCTTTCCAATTTCCATTTCCAACACTTTATTACACTAAACAGTCAAAAAAACAACCTGTCACAAAAGAGATTCATACTGAAAAGCATTTCTTATATTATGAAATGGACAATACTACATCATATACAAAACTGCAAGGCCATCTGAACGTAGCCCTCCGTGAAGGCTTTTCCTGTGTAAAGAGATCTCCACCATGTTCAGCTTAAAGATGACATGGGTTCTTCTTTGCTTCATCCTTCCAAGTTTCATCAATCCTGCTGACAAAAAAAGAAACCACAAGCAAAACAATGAGTAGTGTTTCAATTAGTTTACCCTTTGCAATTTTTAAACCATAATAACAATTAAAAAAATTATGTTTTGTGCTGTATTAAGACGTTAAATGTGAACATGGAGCTCAGAACAGCCACCATCAAACCATGCTAGTCTTTCTCTGTTGTTGTAGCTGTTATATCATGAGCGGACACGATGGGTTTCATTTGTCCCCGCTGTGGTGTGACTCACACGGAAGGCCTGTTGTGCTAACCTGAGCTAATTATGCTAGCGACGTTCCACTAAAAGTGTTTAGGGCACAAGTTTTACTTTGAGCTTTAGTTCCCCATCACTTGTGTTTTTTGTTGCAGGACAAGTTTGAGCAATGTTTTCTTTCCAGAAAAAATTCAAATGAAATCCACAGTAACTGACCTCTTACATCCTCCTCTGTCCTGTTTCAACACACACACACACACACACACACACACACACTGCTCCCAGAGTCCTCTGTCCTTCTGTCCCCTTGTTGATGCTGCATTATATTGTCTATCTGTCTGAGTAAATAACAACTGTCTGATGAACTGAGCGACACTTACAACCTGAGCTTCCCCTCCTCTCTCTCTTGCTGTGCGTTGTGGGTGTGGTCTTCTTCAGAGTTTTGAAATCTTATCGGTATGTACAGCCAATCAGAGATCAGCCTGCAGCCGTGATGTAGTCTTGTTGTCACGTCAACCACCAACTTTTCTTTCCCAATTTTGATCTTCTTTGGTTTCAGCTCCTTGTTTGTTTATTTCATTATCTCCATTCTGCATGCGTTTCTACCCAAGGTGTTGTCTCAGTGCAGTATTTTACGTTTCTGGCTTTTTTCTTAACACGCCAGCCAAAATTTAAGTTATTGGTTGAAATTTCACCAAAAACTTCAAGAATTTGTATTATGTTTCTTTTTTTATCTCTATGGGTTGCCTCCTTATTGTGCTTTGGGTCATCGATCTTAAGATTGCGAGTTAGGACTCAAACGGGCAATTTGAATGTGTAACTGCTTAGTTAAGTCCACTACGCACTAAACTCACAATACGGTTTACTCAAAACGTTTTTTTTTAACAACAGAACGCTATTCATACAGCAAGCATTAAATCATAAAAAAAGCGAAATATTCCTACAACAATTACTTATATTTGTTTATATACTTATATTTTAAGTAGGAAGGCATTTTTACTTGTACTAATTTGAATTCAATACAAAAATGTAATGTGCACGGAACATGTTATTTCATTAAATGCAATCAGTGTTTAATAATGTATCGTATCGATAGCCTTCTTTTATAGGTTAACTTCATTTTAGTTGCACACATTTTCAAAAACAAACTGGGACGAAGACACCTGAATAACCACACATATATCTCCTGGCTGATATACAGTGTGTGGCAATCCTGTTATTACTTAAACGTCCAAAGTCTGACGTTGAGCTCAAAAGTATAGGCATCAAAATACCAAAAGTAATATTACTCGTAATACAGATTGGCCCATTTCGGCCCATTGGCCCATTATTGATGTGGCACCTAAAGTATAAGAATATAAATGGATGTCTCTGTGCGTTGATTGAGGCCTCATCAAGATTATTGGTGGTTCTCCGAGACGAAGCAAGACTGACGGCTGTCAATTTTGGTCCAATCAGAGTCCAAATGAGTTTGTAGGCATGCCTACTGTTTCCTGGCTCTGTAACTAAATGATAAACAGAGTATTGTCGCAAAACAATCCAAACTTTCTCCATTTGCTGTACATTTTGAAGCTTTTCCCACATACTATTCACAGTTCCTCATTTCAACACGTCCATCCTTTTTTGTTTTAGTGCGCTCTGTCAGTCAGTTGAGCATGCATCACTGTTCACGTCTCACTCTGTTCTGTGTGTTTCTGTGGGGAAGGTGGATGCTTCGATTCCCCTCACATGGTATTGATGTTCATCTGTGTGTTTGTGTGTGTATCTGTGTGTTCCAGTGATGAAGAGAAGAGTGCTTCTCCAGAGAAATACGCAGTAGGGGAGTGTGTGGATTCGGAGAGAACGGGCGTCAACAGCCCAGCCGCAGCCAGCTGTCCCAAAACAGGGTCAGAACCAACACTACATGTTCACTAAACATGAGATTTCAGTGTCTAACAGTTTGATGCAGTCACATCTTTTATTCCCTGTAACTGTATCCATCATATTGACAACCTAATTCAGCAAGCAGCATTGTTCAGTCCATTTTAAAACATGATTGGAAATCAAATAAAAGCACAATCAAAGTAGAACAATTCATTGGGAAGTGCAATATTGTAGGAAAGCACGTAGTAGGTAGAAAAGCAAAAAGTGCTTAAATGTTACGTTTTTTTTATTTTATGTACTTCAATGCTTCAGTTTGTTAGTGAAATGATTCATAGATTATGAACAAAACATTGTAAAAGTCCAAACTCCACACATAAGTACACAGGCTTTGTCCACAGAAACAGACACAGCACCTACAGCAGAGTTGGCCATCACAATAAAAAAATCTAAATTTGCATCATTTAGTATAAGTCCTGTAATTAGTTGTTTTGTAGATCCTGTGACATTCAAGTGGGAATGTTCTATATTAAGAGTTTAAGAACAGCTCCTGCATCTTGTTTTAATAAATCTATTTGCACTGCTTTTGATATGGTTCTATCACTAGGTAGATAGATAGATCGTACTTTATTGATCCCAAATTGGACTAAAATCTAAAAAACTCGACTAAAATCATGTTATATGATTGGGGACCTATCATGCAAAATGCACTTTGTACGTCTTTTATACATGAATATGTGTCCCCGGTGTTCCAGGGAACTCACCAAGTGTCAGAAAACACAACCCTCTCTATTTTCCTCAATACCCAAATCTCTAAAAAAGGGGCTGCAACGGATCTGATAAAAACTGATCCAGATTTGAACACTGTCCTGACGTCAGGACGGTGGCGCTACGGCTATTGGGCCAACTCTCCACCTATCAGGGGAATGTGGGGTTGGGCCACGGCCGGCCATTGCTGCTCAAAAGCGCTGGAGACGCTGTAGTACATATGCCAGGCCTGTAAGTGGCGCTGTAGTCTGCCACAAAAGCAGCGAAGAAGACTTTCCCATGGTTGCCATGGTTACCCTTCTGTTTATTCTCCGCTGTGGCTTTCTTTCTCCCTCCCCGAGGCAAGCGTTTGCTCCCGCTGCTTTAATTCAATGCAATCCCTCCCCGTCGAGGCAAGCACTGTAATTCTCTCCGGTTAGTCCACCAGCAGATGACAAACACCCACCTCTCCGCCTCTTCCAAGGAACGAGGGGACCGTGCGGCAGAGTTTCAGTTTCAGTTTCTTTCGCCGGTCAAGATGTCCGTTAAAGTTTAAATCTTCCGCACAAAATTAGAAAAGTGCCGGTCAAAGGTCTTCTTTGTTATTTATTGAGCTTTAAAACAAATGAATAATGACTCCATATAATAAGATAATAAAACACGGAGGACGGAGATCTATTTTTCTCCCCCTCTTCTGACTTGATCAGAACGCTCCCCTCTCCTGCAGGGGGGCGTGGTCAGCTGCAGCTCACAGAATCAGCCCCCTGCAAAAACAGGGCTGGAGAACAGCAAATAGAGCGAAATGAGGCATGGCTAAAATGCATGATCTGTTTGGTATTTTGAAAACAGAAACGTATAAATATACCTTATATAGGTATGGCCCTACAATATATCATTTAAATATAGCATGATAGGTCCACTTTAACTTTTCTCTCTCCTCCTGTGTTCCCTGTAAGCAGTGAGAAGCTACCCAACGGTCCTCTGGAGGAAATGTCGGCCAGCGAGGAGGCCAAGTAAGTCTGACTGCTTTCTACTGTCTGTACCATTCTAACAAGGAAACACTCAAAAGTACTTGCAAGGATTCATTTATAAACAAGATTTAAATCATGATTCAACTTTAAATCATAATGCATCATACTTTATAACTAGCTTAAAATACTAAATATAAACCTCTTTTTCAACGTGTGTTACATTTGACATGTTTATCCTTTAAACCAGGGGTTGGGAACCTTTTCCTCTAAAGGGCCATTTCAAATTTTACAACATCCTCCGAGGGCCGTACAAATGATTGAACTCAACCTCTGCTAAAAAAAATATCACAGCTCATTCATTTCGCCTTTCTTTCGTTCTGTGCAAAGAAAAAGCAACCTCTTAATCCAGATATCTTTCTGTTTTCAATGTTTTTATGTTATGCTTTGTAGAGAGTGTGTAAAAGGCGTAAGGACCAAAATGCAGACACTCATAGCAGGTACCTTGAATTCCAGGAATTGAATGAAAACTGAAATGCAACAAACTGAGGACCACTGGATACTAAACTACACAATGAGTGAACACAACAGAAACTAACACAGCAAAACCAGGTGAACGTCACCGACGAATCTGACATGAAGTGAAGTGTTTGCCAGTTCAAAACACTGCCATTATTATTAAAAAAAAAAAAAGTGACACCGACGTGAGATATACCACGTGATGACACGTTATGCTTGTGTTGTGTTCAAGGAACCTGACCTTGGCCAGGAAAAACAGGCAGTCTCTTGTTTAATTCTATTGCGGTCTAGATTTCTTTAATATTTTTATTGCAGTTGATTTTTTTGGTCTCGCGGACCGTATACGGCCCGGAGGTTCCCCACCCCTGCTTTAAACTCTCATTTAAAATGTGATCCGGTATTGACTTAAAACTCACCATTTTGGAGGTTAAACTTAAAATTAGGGATGCTCCGATCGATCGCCGATCGAGATCGGCCGATACTCACTCTCTACCGATCGATCGGTGCTCTCTAAACATGCCGATCGCGAGAGACGATCGCATGACGTAAAATACATGACACTTTTCTCTGTGCGCGGCAAAACAAGCTCGCCAAAATGGCTTCACCAGTCTAACAGTATTTTAAGGTGTCCGAAAAAGACAGTAAAATAGCGGTATGCAACGTGTGTGTGAAGCAGAAATCCTGCAGCTCCACCCGCTGTGACGGACCGGTGAGCGGAGCGGAGCGAAACACACAAGAGTTAGACCTAACACACTTAGCTATTTGATCTACCTCTGGAACTAGTTATAAATATATTTATTCTTCACTGTCGGGTCACTCATTACTGGATCAGTGAGCTGCATGAGATACTGACGGGCTGTCAGGAGAAAGAGAGAGGGGGAGAGAGGAAAAGAGAGCGCTTCCGCTCATTTCTCCCGCGGTATTATCCAAAGTGAATGTAAACTTGAATAATGTACTTCATTTGAATGTAATAATTAAGTTGTTTGTGGAAGCTCCAGTGAATGAGCCCCATTAACTGAGTTTTAAACATCACTTTAAATGGAAGATTTAAAGTGATGTTTATGGTCGTTGTCCTGTTGAAGGGTGAACCTTCGCCCCCAGTCTGAGGTCCAGAGCGCTCTGGAGCAGGTTTTCATCAAGGATCTCTCTGTACATTGCTGCATTCATCTTTCCCTTGATCCTGACTAGTCTCCAAGTTCCTGCCACTGAAAAACATCCCCACAGCATGATGCTGCACCACCATGCTTCACTGTAGGGATGGTGTTGGCCAGGTGATGAGCGGTGCCTGGTTTCCTCCAGACATGATGCTTGGCATTCAGGCCAAATGTGGTTTCATCAGACCAGACAATTTGGTTACTCATGGTCTGAGAGTCCTCTAGGTGCTCCATGGGGGCTTTCATGTGCCTTTTGTTGAAGAGTGGCTTCCTTCTGGCCACTCTACCATAAGGCCTGATTGGTGGAGTGCTGCAGAGATGGTTGTCCTTCTAGAAGGTTCTCCCATCTCCAGAGGAACACTGGAGCTCTGTCAGAGTGACCATCGGGTTCTTGGTCACCTCTCTGACTAAGGCCCTTCTCCCCCGATGCTCAGTTTGGTTTGGGCGGCCAGCTTTAGGAAGAGCCTTTTTCTTACTCAATATCAAGCCACACTTATTGTTTTTACTTCGGCTGTGACTTTGTGTGTGCTCAGGATGAGTTTGGCTGTGTATCGCTAACAAGGAAACAACACCTCCACGGAGCTCAGCGCGATTCACAACGTCCCGACCAATCGGAGCACACTGTGCTCACAGGGAGGGTGGGGGCTGGAGCTGTTGGAGCTACAACGAGCCGTTAAAGGCAGAGAGTGAAATTCAGTGAATACACGTAGTTTACAGAGATGCTGTATGAGAAACCAATGTGAGTTTGGAAAATTGCACAATATAAATCTATTCTAGTAGACCTCAACAATGGAATTATGATCAGTGGAAATGGCCATGACATGGGACCTTTAAACGTTTTCACTTTGTCATTATGGGGTATTGTGTGTGTGTGTGTGGGATATTGAGAACAAAAATGAATTTAATCCATTTTGAAATAAGGCTATAACATAACATTTGAAAAGTGAAGGGGTATGAATACTTCCCGGATGCACTGTATACATGAACCTGAGCCTTGCTGTGCTGTTGTGCGTTTTTTTTTTAAATGTTCCAATAGTTGACCATTACCTTTACTTGCACACAATGCTATGTATTCCAATATTGTATTATTAAATGGATACATATTTCCATCCTTGCGTTTCCCCCAGACTGGACCAGAGTGCCGTGTCCTCAGAGCCATCTGTGAACGGGCCGGCGTGAGGGGGAGCCGAACGCCAGCCAGTGTCCAGCCTGTTCTGCCATGCAGCGCCCCCCCCCTCCAGCCAGCGGGGGGCCACTGCTCAGAGCTGCACCAATCACACGCCCCCACCAGGACCAGCAATACTCCCATTGGCTCAACACTGACGAGACAGAACACAGGTGTACAGACACAGGATGAACTGAAAAGCAAAACGAGAGACATACTCAAAAGGATACAGAATAAAAAAAATTCTGCATTTGTTTATATACTATTGTTCTTATGAGGTGATGTGCGACCGATATCTTGCCACTCAAAAATGAAATAGTAATGTTGCTATAGTTAAAGAAATGATTGTATGAATAAAATATTTTATAAAAAGAAAAATGTATACAGAAACATAAGATGAATTGCCACAGAAACAGGACTAGCTGGTTGGTGTCTCACCCACTCACCCAGCTGTTGTTACTGCACGTTTCTGTTATCCTGCTAACTGAATACAACAGTTGCTATATTTAAATTCCCACGCACCATTGGTCTGTGTCTCTGAGCAGAGCTGCTCTTCCAATTGAAACACACAAAGTTTTATTTTGCTGCAGGTATGATTTGTAAATGTTTTTCTCTTGTATTCTTCTGCATTCAGTAAGATTTGACACGCTTTTTGGTATAATTCTTTTTTTATTTATTATAGGAGTAAGATAATGGTTATGTTTTGTTACTAAGGAGCCATGCCAACACACCCTCTCCCCTTCTACAGGCTGCATTCGTGCTAACCGGGTTCCTACCTCGCAGCTACAAGGCTAAACGTCGTCACCACGGCAGAAACACAGCTGTAAATCCATTCTTATACATTCTTGTTTTTTTTTTTAAATCTTTTTTTTCTAGACTACTGGTTCTCAACTGAGAGCCTTGATTTTAGGTAGCTACAGCTTTTGTCAGAACTTGGAAGGTGAGGGAAAGTTGGCTGTTAAAGGCTGACTTTAGGCTGAATGAAATAATTTAGCAAATTGAGAAATGACCCGCCTCCTGGAGCTACTGTAGATGTAACTCAGTCACTTTAGGATGTTATTAAGAAAACTAAGTTACAATCATACATTTGCTGATATTGGCTGTTGATCAAGCTCCAACCAGAGGTGTTTATTCTTAATCTGTGTTCAGACTGACAGCAGCACTGTTAGAAAACGCAGCAGCTACCTTTACAAGCTGCTGTTGAAAATATGATGTTAACCAGTGTGCACAGTCCTGGTGAAGCAATGAAAGTGAATGGGGAAATTGTTTAAATGCTAGTTGTTGATTGCGGAAGGATAGGATGATAAATTGATCACAATATGATGTGCATTATTTTATGAGCCTTTACTCGTTACTTTGTCAGCAGTAACCAAAGCAATACCCCCACCAGACCTTGTTTTTGTCTGATGTATAACCTAGGAAGTTTGACTTTTAATGCTATTGTCAGTCTGAATGCATCCTCCACTTTTTTTTAAACTGCCTTCATGAGGCGGTGGATTTATGAATTTCAAACAAACATAAAAACCAGCCGTGTTAGAGTCCGGACATATTGTAGTTGCTCTGTGTGTTTATGGCCTTTTAGCTAAGGTTTGGTCTTAACCAATCCTCCAGAAATATGTGTAGCTTGTCAGCTGCCAGATGCTTAACTTTATTTTCTTAACATGATAAATAGAGGACCAACTTTTGTGATGGGCCAATTTTTTGTCTACTGATGAAATATTGAACATCTGGATTGGCAGTGCTGATGCTGAATATCCGTCCTCATGGCACTGAGCCTTAAACAGAGCATTGCATCTACCTGCAGCTGCCATTGAAATGGTGTCTTTGTTGCTAGAAAACACACTCCTCTGCAGCCTTCCTCCTTCCCATGGAACCACTTTGATTCCCCTCACCAAATGTTTTTTCTTCATCTTGGCAACAAATGATTCACTATTTCCTGATGATGGTACAACCCACTTTTTTTGTCAGATTATTAATTAAATGTCATCTTAATTTCTGAAGTTCAGTGGTCTTTGCAGATGGTTTCTTGGGCTTGATTGTCATGACTGAAGTTTATTAGGCCAGTTTCACAATCTTTCTTTAGAGATATGTTTTTAGTACTAAATACAGAACTCTAACATGCTAATTTCCAGAGGGAATCAAGATATCTGTAATATTACAAATTCTTAAAGCTTCGATGGAATCTGCATTTACATTTAATGTGAAACACGGCATTAGATAGTAATTGAGTGAAAGTGTTGCGTTATTTCTGTCTGAGGCTTTCCTGCATTGATACCAGCAAAAAATGAACCAAATATTAGGCTTTGGATGACTGTGATGGTGGCCGCAGATCAAGATGTCAACTTCTTTCAGAAATGGAAATCCTGGACAAGGTCAGTATAATGCTTTTTTTTTTTTTTTTTTTGGTCAATAGTAGTGGAGCCTCGACAAAACTTGGAGCTATTTAATTTAAGCAATAATTTCCCAAAAAATGATTGTAAGATTTGTCAGATAAATGATGTCCTTTAACATTTGTCACGTTAAATCAGTAAAAAACAAACAATATATATATATATATATATATATATTAAATATACAAGCTACTAATGCTTATTGTTTTTTATTATCCTTATCTAACAGAATCTTGTCAGTCTGTTGATTTCCTGGACATTTGTTCATGTCATCAACTTCACGTGTAGGTGTATTGCAGAGTACCCACTACACTTTAAAAAAATATATATATATATATGTAAGTACCTTAACATTGAACTACTAGTCTTAATTTCCACTTACAAGCAAACAAACAAGTGAATATGATACATTGGAGTTAATATAAAACTATACTGCCTAGACTTTGAAGTACGACTTTAAATCTTAAAAACATTTCCAAATAATAATTTTCATTTGTTTGAAGCTGCAGACAGCTAATGGGGATCAGCTATAAGGGCAGGTTGACACACAAGTATATGCTCAAGTGTCTATTTACATATACTTCAAACTAGAACTATGCCTACTTAACATTTTAAATTTCAAATGTTTTATACATCATGGGTATTATTCTACATTCAAAGCCAGAAATGTAGTTATGCGTCAGATTCTCAATAAACCTTAAATATATTCCACATGTGTAAAAGCCCACATTATTGATATTCAACTTTTCATTGACCTTCATATGGAACCTATTCCAACTATCACTAATACAAATATAAAATAAAAAAAACATTGATATTAAATGACAATCCTTATTTCAATTGAAACCTTCCTATTGAAAGTTATTATTGTTGTTGTATTGTGAGTAAGTGACAATTGTAAGATGTATTTGGTCAATAATTATCCTTTATGTCGTCGTGCACTATGCACCTTATACAGTATCTTTAATACACTTGTAGTTGCATATTACTGTGCCAAATCTTCCGGGGTTTAGTCTGTCAGGCAGCCTACTTGCCATAAACTGCTTACCGAATATTCCTCATTGAGGGTAAACTATAACTAACAACTAGTAACTGTCCAACACCTGCAACGTTTTATATACAATCTAATGACCACTGCTTACATTTTGCCCAGGTTAGTGTTTAACATCCGGAAGCGCTGTTACCTTACAGACCAGACTTGGGGGTAGCACATTTTTAGGATGCTATTGCATGATGACGTCAAACAAGTTGTGTTGACGGCTAGCCTGATGCTAACCCGATGCTAGCTAGCCTACTTACGTCAACACAGTCTGGGCAAATCCCCTTACCGACTCTTATGGTTTTACAAGTCTTGTGGACATTTGTATTCATGCAGTGTCGACTATCGGTGTGAGACATGCAGGATAAGTATACGGAGATAGACCTTCTTCAGCAAATACTCGGTTTGAATTTAGTGCCGAGGAAGAATGGCACATACCGAGGAAACGACACATCTCTCAACGACTTCTCAGGTGGGCTAATGTTTGGTAGCTTGTTAGCTCTACTCACTGTGTATCAGTGCGAATATGCTGTATAGTGGCGTCTAGTGAATTATTTTAAACGAAAATGGGGGTTAAATTGTGCTTAATTCCCTTTTAAATGCATTGTTTTTAGAGATGAAGTAAAGTTGTTTCACGCTGGTGTACGTGTTAGCTTAAAGCCTCCTACACACCAAACTGACACCAAAGAACACGTCCGACGGAACGTCGCCTCACGTCTCCTGAGTCTTGGCCATGTTTCGCACTGGAACACACCGAAAAGACTTCAGCCAACGGCCAAGTTGCACGTACGAACTGCGCATGCGTGAGTGGCAATAACTCTCCTTACCAGCAGGCGGCGGTAGTGTGTAAGAGGCAACAACCGGAAGACAGACTGCGTGATACACCGAGAGAAGAAGAACAGACTGCGTGATATAAACAAACAACAAATAGCGTGTGCGTTCCATTATCACTCTACAGCTCATGGGGCTTTCCCGAACCTGTGTCGAGAGCTGGAGTTAAATGCAACCTGAGATTTGCCTTCTTAATAGTTTGTTTGGGTCCCTCACTTCCGTTTCGCTTCTCATGCACTGATTCGCTAAGCTGAACAGCAGGGACGTGCACAGACATTTGGAGGGGCTATTGCTCTAAACTGGAAAAAGGGCCTCCCCCCGAAAAAAACACAAGACCTTTTGAAAATCGTAACTTGTTTTTAATGTAAAAGAAACCAAACGATTATTACATCAACTAAATTGAACAGTAATTCACATCTCATAACAAAATAAGCTAAGGCGACTACTTGCATTTGGTGACTTGATTTTAAAAATGAAAACCAGGGACATTGTGTGTGTTGCGGTCCATATCTCATTAAAATATCTAATGTTAGTAACTATTAAAGACAACATGGGGACAATTCTGTTCTAATGTAGTTTGACCATTGTAACTGCTGTGCAGTCCAGACATAGGCTACTGATAAAATAGGGCCTCTAACTAATTACCTTAAAGTGGACCTATCATGCTATATTTGAATAATATAGTGTAGGACCATACCTATATAAGGCATATTTATACTTTTTTTTTTTCAAAATACCAAACAGATCATGCATTTTAGCCATGCGTCATTTCGCTCAATTTGAAAAATGTTAGCTCTGTTTTTGCAAGGGCTGATAATAACAATAACTCTCCTTACCAGCAGGCATCGGTAGTGTGTATTCGTCATTCAAAAGAGGACAGACGTGATACAAACTTCAGCTCTCTGAAGCAGAAAGAAACTATTTAACAGTGACGTGCGGTGAGGTTCATGGCTGGTGAGGCACTGACTCTTTCAGAGTCGGATTTACAAATATTATATTTTGACCTTAATCGAAATATTCTGTTATTTTCAAAAGCTTTTTTAGTCTGATGCTTCGATTCATTTTAAACGGACCGTTCAACAAAAGGATACCCAAAATCTAAATATTGGATTGTTCTTTCTTAGTAAGATCCCATTTTCATTACAAATGTGGTCTTACCTTGACTTGAAGATGAAGTCCATGCTATCCTTCTGGACAACAATCTCTGTTACTTTTTTGTAAAACTCCCCCTTATCTTCCTGTAGTTTCAAAAGTCTAGTTTGTTGTTTGCGTCTACCGTCTCTGCGTAGAATTACAGTAGCAACAAGAACCTGTGGGCTCACGTGCGCCCCCTTCAGTGCGGCAGAGGTTATGGCTGCCTCCCCTGGTGCTTTTTTCATTGCCGTTGTATGATGAGTCCAGCGGGCCTAAATATCATATATACGTGAAATAAGTTATTTAGAGACTATGGATGGCGAGGATAAATGTAATAAAGGGATCTACAAACATTACATTGGTGACCTACAGTGAGATGGTAACAGGCATGCGCTTAGGGCCCGCTTTCCAGCCAGTTTCTGTGGGGTGACGCATTCTGAGGTGAGGCAGATCTCATCTGTGCCTCACCTTACCCCACAGTAACTGGCTTGAGCGCGCTCACAAAATAAGTGCCCGCGCTAAATTAGTGCCCGTGCTCCAGCAAGTTACTGTGGGCTTACGAGAGGCAGAGCTCGTCCCTGCCTCACTTCTCATCGCTCCCATGTAGCCTAGTTGTAGCGGAGCTCGGCAAATTAGCTGATTTTGACTATAAGAAGCGATTGGAATCATACAGAAATCACACTTACAACACAGATCAGTGGAGACATTTTATTATTATTATTATTTCGTTTTTCTTTAATTGTTTTTTCATTACATTGGAGTATGACAGGTGAGGCTCTGCCTCCCCTGACTGCACGTTGCTGCTATTTAAGCATTGTGGTTGGCAACCTTAAAGTACTGCTGCTACCACATTCCATGCATCAGTAATTATAATCCAAGATTATATTCATATACAACATCATAACACTGACAGGCAAATGATGTATCATGTACATTTCTATCTTCTGACTTTTATTGTAGTATAGCTAATTTTATCCTCATTCTAATGTTGTGTTATCTAATGGCTGTAGTATGAAGGTACGAAATAAAGTTTTGTATTTTGCAGTATCAGTAAAAAGTGGTTTATTATCAAATGTAGAACTGTACAATGTAAACAATCGACTAAAATACAATAAGATAAAAATAGTAAGTAATACAATAAAAACAAAAATTAGCCACATTGTCCAGGGTCCTGTCCGTTAAATACTTGAAGAAGTATTGCAGCAAATTACGTGGCAACTGAGTTGGTCTTCGGTTTCTTCATTCCAGATCGCCATGATGTAAAATAAATTATTGCGTCCAGGTGAGATGAAAAGGAAAAATAATAGCCGTCTGTGTGTGCCTAATCGTTTGTTTGCGTACCTCACTTCCGCTTCGCTTCTCATGCACTGATTCGCTAAGCTGAACAGCCAATCGGAGTGATTTATTTTGCCGACAGCCTCCGCGGCCGATTCAACATGGTGAATCGGCCGCAGAAGGTGTCGGCACGGCCGAAAAGAGACGACGGTGCGGGACACACCAATCTGAGTAGGGCGACAGGACGCTCATCGACGGCCAGACATCTATCGACGGCCGAAAACGGCTTGTCAGGGCCTTAACCCCTGCAGTCAACATGTTGAAGTGTCGGTGGGCAAGATACTTGACCCTAAATGGCTCCTGAAGGCATGTCTACGGTATAGAAGTGTATGTAATCCGTTTTGGATTAAAGTGTCCGCTAAACTACAGGTTATCTAAAAAATAAAAGGATCATGCATTCATGATGTATATTGACTGAATGCACAGCTACTGTGTTTGTACATTTTGTAATGTCTATAATGTGATAAAAAACATATTAAGACCTATTTAGGGCTCAAAGGCCAGCGTCTAGATTCTCCGAACATAGATCATTGTTCTCAATAACTTTAGGAACAGCAATCTTCCAAAGCATGTTCCTCTATGGGGTGAAGGTGATGGTGCTGGAGAGGGCTGTCCCTTCTTATCAGTGTCCAGTAGGGTTAACATCTGGTGCCTGAAGGCCAGAGCATATGAGTCATATATTTTCCATACTTATCAAACCATACACTGGGCCCTCATCCGCTGAGTACTCTAGACTTATTTATATTCCTTTCAATTGCCAGAGGAGATAAAAGGTGTAGAGACAGGGAGCTGGCATCACATTAATGAATAATTTGTGTGTGTGTGTGTGTGTAGAGATGTGGTACGGAGTGTTCCTGTGGGCCGCGGTCTCCTCCCTGGTGTTCCACCTGCCCGCCGCCCTGCTGGCCCTCGCCACGCTGCGGCAGCACAAGATGGCGCGCTTCATGCCCATCGCCATCCTCCTCATGGGCATCGTGGGGCCCATCTGTGGGGGGGTCCTCACCAGTAAGTCTTGTGTACTTGTGAGTGATTGTGCAGTAGTTCCCTCCTTGAAAAATGATCTTGACAAGTACTAGTTTTCACTCCCATATTTGAATGTAATGCTTCAACTGTAGAGGACAGCAGATTTGTCCTCATTTAGATTGTATTATTCACATTTCCTGTTGTCTCTCCAATATGTGCCTGCAATGCTCACAGGATACTGAGAGAAACACCATATTGATTATATTGTCTTGTTTCTACAGAACAGAAAAGCATAAATCATTCAGATATGTTTTCCTTCTTGTATTGACATTTGAAAAACTGCAACTACTTTGCACACTCGTATAGTGTATATCGTATCATATGTTTCTGTTTGCACTAGGAAACAGACATTACCAGAAAAACACAAATGTAGTAAAAGCGATGCTCATGCAGAAAGTGAGAACACAGTTGAACTTGTGTGGGGGGGATTACAGTGTTCATTAATGTCATGCACATGGCCTTGCATGACTACATTGTTTTTGCACCAAAACATAAATATACTTTTATTGTAGTTTTTTTTTTTTGTATACATTCTGATGGATTCTCGTTATTAGACTCCATTACTCCTCCGTAGGGTCAAAATTGAGGCCCTATAGTGTCATTTTTATTACATACTGGAATGGCCGAGATGATTTAAGTCCAGAAATGACCTTTTAGTAACCCATAAAAAAAGTTATCTCCCCTTTTTTCCAGGTTTTCCAGGTTTTCCAGGGAGAAGGCAGCTTCTTACAGGCTTTTAAGGTTCATTTATTTAGTGAACGGTTGACCTTTGTAACTTTCATGTTTATAAGAATGAAATCATGTTAGGTCCATGTTTAAGATCTCAGAGAGTGCAGATCTGTAACACTCAAAGGCTCAGGTCGGCAAATCATAGAAAATAAATGGTCTTGCAGTTATTTTGTACCAATAATGAGCCTATGAACAGGCCCACTATATTATAATATAATTGTGATTTTTGTAACTTGCAAAATGTTAGTAGAGCAATTATTTAATTCTATTCATTACTCAATTCAACTTCCTGTTTATACAAAACATTTTGTGGCATAAAATCATTGCTTTCCAATTCAACCCAAACAATGAATCTCAAGAATATAGTGTTTTTTCCTTTTTCTTCAAAGGTGCGGCCATAGCAGGAGTGTACAAGGCGGCGGGGAAGAGGATGATCTCGTTGGAGGCGCTTGTTTTCGGTGTGGGACAGTCCTTCTGTGTCCTCATCATCTCCTTCTTCAGGGTGCTCGCCACCCTTTAGCAGAGCCCGATGCTGACAACAGTGTCACATGGTACAGGACTAGATACACATGTGACCCGGGACATGATGGCCCTTCCTGGATGGACCAAGAGCAGAGTGCACCTGTCACAGAAAGAGCTGTGTGGTGTGTGTTCTGCAGGGCCGAACACACACCACACAGCTCTTCTCTGGACTAAACTGAGGATGCTCACCCAGGGTCAGCTGCACATACAGTCATGGTCATTCCTGCAGGATGTGAAGGCAGCAGGAGGACCCTCTCTCTTCTCAGGGGCCGTGTGTGTGTGTCTCATGACTTTGACTCCATGCACCGCCTGCACAGAGACGCTAACAGACAGACTGATGATGGTAATATGCAAGATTCTGGCTTTTTCCCCCTTCGAGGCCTTAATTTCTAACTTCCAAAGTGGTGTTTCTCTTCAGGGATGTCTTTCTTTCTCTCTCTCTCTCTCGCTGCTCCTTTTGTTCTTCCTCATATTGATTTGAATGAATCCACTGCCTGTTAGTAATTCCAATGAGTGAGGAGCGCCCACGACATGTTCCCTTCAGCTCATTTATTTTAAGTGAAGAGGTTTTTATAGATGATTTCTATTTTTATTGATGTCAAGAGAATGTCTTCAGTTTGTTTGTGTGGATATATAGAAGTCTAAACATGTCCAAAACGGAGAAAGAGCTTTTCTTTCCTCCTTTTGATGTTTTACATGTGGTTCATTTGGTAAAACACTGAACTTATATTTGAAATGATTTCCAGGTCTTTGTAGCTTTTCGATGTCTATGACCAAATTGCTTTGCTCGTTTTCTTTCTTCTGCAAAACCTCATCTGTAGTTCAACGTGCTCATCAAATTCCCACAGTCTTCAGTGACTGATTTTCGTTGCTGTTGGTAACTGACGGTGCTTTTAAATGAACTCATTCTGACCGTTGAACTTAACATGTAATACTTTCATTTGAAAAACAATAGCTTGCAAGAGATACTGTTTTTTTAGTTTTAGCTACTCTTGAATACTGATTTAGACGAGCTGCTGACACCACGAGCACAAATGGTATTATTTGTTGTCTGATAGAAAACATTTTCACATTAATTTACATTGCGTTTGTTTTAAAATCTATTTTTTTTATCTTTGTCTTGATGAAAATGTCCTTCTCTCAACACTGTTTTACTCTTGATGACACAAACATAAACCACCCCTTTATTTTTGGTTCCATGGAGTTTTATGAAAAGTCTTCTCTTGACCATAAACAGCTACATTATCCTAGCAGTGGTTCTCAACTGGTCGGGCCTCGGGACCCACTTCTTTCCTTCGTCAATAAATCGCGACCCACAATTTAGAAATTTCACTCAAATCTATTCAACAAAAAATCAGCATACAATTGTAATTAAAGTGAAGTACAGTGCATATATCCCTTCAGAGAACTCAAGTATGCTTTTAAAGAAAGTTTAATCTGATGATGGTCATTAAGTTTCTAGAATCAAAGTTGAACTCTATAACATAAAAAGGCACACTTGTATTGTACTCAATAAAAAGGCAGACTTGGAGCCAATCCTGCAAATTCACCACACGTGAAAAACGTGACATGCTGAAAACCCAACCCCAGTGGGGGTCTGGGGGGGATTCTCCCCCAGGAGATTTTTATAAATACTAACATATAAATACGCATTCTGGTACACTCTGAGAAGAAAATAAATAAATATATTACTACCCGACATATTTAATAATAGTTTATGCCATTTTTTGATTTTTACATTGTTCTGAAGCTGAACTTGCTGCTCCTCACAGAGAGAAGAGCAAAGAGGAGAGAGTCTGTGTGAATTACTTTGTAGATAAGGGTAGATAGCCCCCATTGTTCTGTGACCTGTCAATCATCCAACCGGAGATCGTATTTCATTACGTGCTCATTTTTATCTGAATATGTACCCATGGATGTATAAAGAATAGTTCTACCGCAAGTTATTCTCCGTGGGGACTTCCGGCAGCAACACCATGCCGTTATCTTGATTCTGATTGGCCAGAAGACTCAAACAAACATCAGCAAAGATGTTTTATTGAGAAGATTATCACTGTCACAGAAGTTTTCAAAACAGTTTATGTTCTCCGGCATTTCCAGTCCAACGCCTACTGCATGCGCAGCGTTAGAAAATCGGGCTTTCTAAATTTAAGTTTGAATTTTTTTTTCACTCGCACATCTGCAACCCACTCAAAATGGGTGGGTCGCGACCCACCAGTTGAGAACCACTGTGCTAGAGGACAAAAAAATAAATAATTGAGCTCCCAGAAATTCCCACGCAGTTTCACCCAGTTAAGAATCTAGGCTTGACTAAGAATAGACCCGATGGAAGACGTGTGACTAACATCCAGGGGCCAGTTTAAAAAAAAACTGTGAATTCACAACTAAAACTGAAGAAGAAATACACATCCCCATTGTTTTTCATCAGATTTATGAAGAGTTATGTTGTATAATTCTAAGCCATGGTGAAGTGGGTTCCACAAGCTTAATTTACAGCTTGTGATAAAAGGATATAGAAATGTCCTTAAACATCTATTTGCAAGAGGATCCTTGTGCCTACTACAAGTCTCATTACACCTGTACAGCAGCTGTACCTCTGAATGATCAGATGTACCCGTCTACCATCCTCGAGGGGACATATCATTATTTACCATCAGAGGGATGATCAATAATTCATTCATAGAGCTCACAGGAACAGCTGAAAGATTAATAACGGCCAATGGTTCAAATGTAATCAAAAGAAGAATGATCATCACTCGTAAATCGTGTTATTGCAGCCTTTTATTAACAGAACACTGAACACTGCAAGCATAATGATCAGGCAAGTCTCACCTTATAATACTTTGACCAACAGTTATCTGTAGAAAGGTGTACACTGGTATGAGGAGAGCTGTAAAATGGCTGTTTCTGTGAGCGTATTCTTAGCAGCATTTCCATTTCTGACCCATTCAAAAATGTTCTTCCTTGTTGTTTTGCACATTCCAATTGGATATATTGTTGACTAAATGTTGCTGCGTATGCCACAATGATCCCAATGATCCCCGGATTGGGAAGTACGCAGAAGAGAAAACTAATCTTTTTATCCCCTCAAAGAATTTCTTTAACCCTTCCAACCAAAGATTTCATTTGCGCCCTGTTTGTCACTAGCTCTGATTTCTGGGCTGTACAGTCTATAAAACTAGAAGTAACGTGTAACACTGAGATAGTGATGAGAAGACTCCAGAAGTTCAGCACCCATGGGACCAAGAGTGGGACAAGAAACGGATCCCTATTGATTTTAAACCATCAGAGGAGCGTCTTTATTTTTGATTGTAGATGCATTTTGATGTGATACAAAACCCCTAAGTTCTGGTGTGCTCTACTGTACATATCTTTGGAAGTCAAATGAAAGCACCTCTTCAGAACAAGTGGCTGATGCAGAAACCGATGAGCCCTTGGCCTTGCTTTTACGCTGTACATTTTAAAGAATGTATTTTTTTATGGTTGTGTAATTTGAGCTATGTTTCTCTGTGGTTCTGTCACAGCAGTGCATACATGCAGCTGGTATTTATCTGAACATCACTGTAACACAACATTTGGTATCTTCATCAACTAGTGTTTTATGTGTTTCAAAACGTTCTTCTTCATGTTCTGCTGGCAGTCTCTTTATCCATCTCTTCATATGACCCTGCTAAAGAGAGGAAACTCATTTACCACGTGAACACTAGCATCAAGTATAAAGCTAATCCTGTATGTGAACTATTTGGTAAGTGTATGTGCATATTGCATACACCCAGAATCCTTTACATGGGGTTAAAGTCCCTGTACACTACTTAAAGCAGAAGGATCAACTAAAAAGTGTTAGCCTGAGCTAAAAGAACATTAAGTAACACTAATGAGGGCACAATTTGGAAAAAACAACTAGTTGCGATTATTTGAACTGATATTGCAATTGCGATATGACTCATGATATTGGAAGAATTTATGATTTTTGCGTCATTATTCTCATTTTTATTGAAAGATATATTTAAAATGATCAACAGGTTTGAAAAGAGGATCTGTAAAAATTCACAATAACATTTACACACATTTTGCCTGTAACTAATGCGATTTGAATATTGCACTTGGCTGTGTTGCGACTGACTTAAATTAGATTAATCGTGTAGCCTTAACAATAACACTTCATACAGGGAGGGGGGAGGAAAGGGGATGTTTAAAATACTCACGCTTAGTCTAATCGTTAACATTATTACCTTCATGAGGAGGATTTATTACATTTTTCACTGCATTTTGCCAGATTCAGAATACATTACATGACATGACATTACATGACATTACATGACATGACATGTCACTTGTTAGGCGCTTTTATCCAAAGCGACTTACATACTCAATACTGTGGGCAATCCCCACAGGAGCACTTTGGGGTGAAGTGTGGTTTGAACCTGTGACCCCCTGATCCGAACACCAACACACAACCTCCCTACATAATAATAGTGATGTGATTAGTGAATAGTGATGGTAATAGTACCAACACAGGGACAATCAAACATTTCATCAGCGTGACACCCATCGGCACCACGCCTCACAACATCCAGAAACACTAAGAGCTGGGAGGGTTCAGGGACCAACGTATAGACTCTCATGTCTCTAACTCTGATCACAACTCCCTGATCTCACACAACTTCATAACACTATAACAGACAGAAAGATCAGTAGCTACGTTTCAGCAAGGTGGACCTGATATAAATGTTCAGAACTGGTTTTAGGGATCATCAAATTCTTAATTGATGATCATGATTTCGATTTGTCATGAAAATTATTTTTATTTGTGCCCTCTATATTTTTGAATGCCTTTTTATTTTTGTGGCAGAGATTGGCTTCCCTATGTCAGTTATCGCCAAAAATGTCATCCAGCTTCCAGCCTCCTGGTTATTACGATTCCAGTTTTAGTGAATGTTCTGATACAATGATCTGTGATGGACGGTAAAGTCTCTGCTGTGACAGAACCACTCTCTCTGTGTGGTTTGGTCCGCATTCCTGGACTGATATTGTTACATTTTTACCAGATTAAAAGGTTTTAAAGTTGATTTTATTTGAGTAAATTAAGTGCCAATGGTTCATATTTTCATGGAATAAAAAATGTTTTAACTATTATCTTGTAGTTGATCTCCATGTTCTTTAGCGACCTCTAGTTGTGAGAGCTGTTTGTAGGATTATTTTTGCATATTAAAATATTAAACCATGTTTTCTATGTTACATAATGAATACATCAGAACAAGGGCTGCTTGATTTGTAAAATGTAACTAATTGCAATATATTGAGTTAAATGGCAATTTCCATATGATTTGCAATATTAGAGGGAATGCTGCATTATTCAAATATACTTAAAGATTATTATATAAATTATTTATTTTAGAGAAGATCTTTAACAAACAATGTTTTCATGAAGTCGTACCTGTTGTAAGCTAGGACTTTTCTGCAGCTCCATAATATAATAATAAACTTTATTTGTATTTTTTACTTTAAACTTCACTTCCTTAGTAGAGTTTGTTTCATTATAATACAATGATACATCTAATAACTATTTATTACTTTAAAAATGTATTCTTGTACTTTCACTTCAGTTTCACAAAATGCACAAATATTACCATTATCAAATATTAATCTATCTAATATTATGTAGGTAAAATCAGAGGTGGGAGCAGTACTCAGATCTTGTACTTGAGTAAAAGTACCAGAGTGTAGGAATACTCTGTTACAAGTAAAAGTCCTGTATTCAAAATGTTCCTCAAGTAAAAGTAGAAAAGTATTATCATCAACATATACTTAAAGTAGCGACAGTAATAGTAGTGATTGTGCAGATTGGTCCATTTCAGAATAATATACAGTATATGATATGTTTTATAATGATTGATCATGAAAGTGTTCTCAAAGCTGGTAAAGGTGCAGCTAGTTTGAATGACTTTGTATACTGCAGGGTAGCTTGTGAATTTACTCCAGGTGGAACTAAAGTCTGATTTAACACTTGATTATATTTCACATCATTCATCCAGATCTGTAAAGTAACTAAAGGCATTAAATACATGTAGTGGAGTCAAAGTACACCATTTACCTCTGAACTGTAGTGGAGTAGAAGTACAAAGTAGCATAAAATGGATATACTCAAGTAAAGTACAAATACGTCAACATTCTACTTAAACACAGTACTTTA